AGTGATCCGTGAGGAATCTTCATTCTGGTTCATCAAATGCCTTTCGGCCCTGTGTGAGCTCTGGGAACTGTTGAGCTGATAGCTTCCCAGTTGCTCTTTGCCTAACTTCTGAAACTTTACCCTATATGTGTGTATCCATAGTCTTCAGGCAAGACTTAAGGGAAGGGAACCCCAAGCAGATTTCCTGAGGTTTTTTCCTGTATATCTCACTCTTCTCTGGAACTCTGCCTCACAATTTCCAGCTGTCTCAGTCTCCTTGAACTCTGCAGTCTCTTTCCTCAACTAGTGAGATTGCTGTGCTGTTGGGTAACTCTCTCCCTGCTCAGTGGTCTAGAAGGTGCCTCCAGGCAGAAAGCCAAGGAGATAAGTCAGTCTCACTTCATTTATTTCCTTCTCTTGAGAGTCACTTTTTCACTGCCTGTTGTCCAATATCTGAAACAGTTTACAACAGGAGGGTAAATCCAATCACTGTTATTCCACCATGGCTGGAAGTGAAAGTGATAGCTATATTAATGTCTAACAAAATAAGACAAAAGGCATTGTTAAGGAATAACTAGGCTGTTTATAATAAAAACTCTTAAATACACTGGGAAGATACAACTATTCTAAATCTGTATACCCCTAACAGAATAGTCTTAAAATATATAAAGCAAAATAAAATTACAGGGTGGAATGGATACATTCAGTATTGATAAGTCCAGAAAAAAAATTAGTAAAGCAATAGAAGAGTTGAACACCATGATGAACAACTTGATTTTATGGACGTATGGTGTGTGAATGCCATGCATGATAATTAAAGAATATAGATTCTTTCAAGCACACATGAGACACTTATATAAATTGAATATATATTAAGCAAAAAAAGCAAATCTTGGTAAATTTAAAGAATCCTCAAGACTCTGACTACAGTGTAATTATGTTAGAAATAAATAACCAGAAAGTCACCAAACATTACTAATTTTTTTTAAAAACCTCATTATTCAAATAAAACTGATGGAAATTAGATATTCAGAACTGAATTACAATGAAAATATTAATTTGGAGGAAATTTATAAGCCTTAGGAAGATAATATAAAAATACAAAGTCTGAACATTAATGACTTTGGTACCCAGGTTAGAAAGGAGAGAGAAATCATACAATAGAAAGGATTAACAAAGGCAAAACTTGGGTCTTTCAAAATACTAAAAATAGTCAAGTCTCTGGTGAGATTTCTCAAGAACAAAAGAGGACACAAATAACATTAGGAATGAAAAACACATATCTACGGATAACTAAAGAGATTAAAAAGAGATCATTGGGGCTGGCCCAGTGGCATAGCAGTTAAGTTCACACATTCTGCTTGGGTGGCCCAGGGTTCACCAGTTTGGATCCTGGGTGCAGCCCTATGCACTGCTTGGCAAGCCATGCTGTGGCAGGCATCCCACATGTAAAATAGAGGAAGATGGGCATGGATGTTAGCTCAGGGCCAGTCTTCCTCAGCCAAAAAAAAAAAGAGAGAGATCATGAACAATTTTATGTTAACACTTTTGAAAAGACAAATTCCTAGAATAACATAACTTACTAAAACTGACTCAAATAGGATGTCTGACAAGCCTTATAACCATATAAATATGTTGAACCTTATAAATATATTGAATCAGCAGTAAAGAATATTCCCACAAAGAAAATGCCAAGCCTAAATGATTTTATAGATGAGCTCTACCAAATTTTCAATAAATAAGTTATTTTACTTTTATATGTACTTCTGGAAAACATGAAGAGAAGGAACATTCTTCTGATAACAACTCCAAAGAAGGATGATATGAGAAGGTCCTTTACTTTTCCTATATCACTTATAAACAAGGATATAAAAATTCTGAGTAATATTAAAACATACCCAGCAGTGTATAAAAAAAGATAATTCATTATGACCAAGTTGGGCTTATCCCAGGAATTTATGGCTGACATTCTATTAGAAAATCTGTAGCTCGAATTCATTCATTATGCATTTTAAGGAGAAAAACCATATAACATCTCAGTAGATGCAGAAAAAGGATCGGGTAGTGTTCTACAGTTATGCATGTTTACAAACTCATATAAAACTAGGAATAGAGGAGTCTTTTTTAACTTGATCAAAGATGTATGCCAAAAACTTAGAGCAAACTTATCTTAATGATAAGTTAGAAACTTTCCTTAAAATTAGGAATATAGCGAGGATACTCCCTATCACTACTTATTTTTAGCATTGTACTAGAAATCCTAGCCAGTGCAAAAGATAAAAGTAAGTAAATCTTTACTTCCTAGTACTCAGTAAAGATTTCTTTTTTAAGTATGAGAATAAGAAAGAAAAAAACCTGTTATTTGCAGATGATGTAATTTGTCTACAAAGAAAATCAGGTTTTTGGAATCAATAAGAATTTATCAAGGTGTCTGGTCTGGATATAAGAGTAACCTCCCACACTCCCCCCACGCCAGCTCCCCAGAAAAGTACCTGGAATAAATCTAAGAGTTGTAGAAGATCTTTATGGAGAAAATGCTAAATCTTTATTGGAAAGCATTAAAGAAAACAAAAAAAATGAGAGACACATGACTATTTCATTTATATGGCAATTCAGTATTGGATAACTTTAATAATTCAATATTGTTTTAATATTTCAATTCCAATTAAAATCCCAACAGGATTTTTTTCTTTTTTGAGGAAGATTAGGCCTGAGCTAACATCTGCTGCCAATCCTCCTCTTTTTGCTGAGGAAGACTGGCCCTGAGCTAACATCTGTGCCCATCTTCCTCTACTTTATATGTGGGATGCCTGCCACAGCATGACTTGCCAAGCAGTGCCATGTCCACATCTGGGATCCGAACTGACAAACCCCAGGCCACCAAAGCGGAAGGTGTGAACTTAACCGCTGCGCCATCAGGCCAGCCCCATGTCAATTATATCTCAATGAAGCTGGAAAAAAATTTTTAAGATATTATTTGCCATTTTCACTATGTTGACATTTGCACTGATGTTGCAAAAGCAGTGGTGGATAGGGGCTGGTCCCGTGGCCTAGTGGTTAAGTTTGGTGTGTTCTGATTTAGCAGCTTGGATATGGTTCCTAGGTGCAGACCTATACCACTTGTCAGCAGCCATGCTGTGGTGGCGACCCACATACAAAGTAGAGGAAGATTGGCACAGATGTCAGCTCAGGGCGAATCTTCCTCAAGCAAAAAGAGGAAGATTGGCAACAGAGGTTAGCTCAGGGTGAATCTTCCTCAGCAAAAAAACAAAAAACAAAAAACAAAACCAATGGTGGATAAAGCTTTTGGTGCCTTCGCACAAATCAAGACAGTGGCATGAAACAATACTAGTAGTCATGTATTCTTCACCACCACTCACTCACTCTTAGGAAAAAAAATTGCTAGTTTCACTTAAGAATGTCCTTGATGAAATTGTACAAATCCAAACTTTGAAAAAGTGTATGGAGGAAAATCACCTGAGGGCTTAAGCTAAACTAGACACTTTTTAAATTGCCACTGTTTTTACTTGAAAGAATGACTTACAGACAAACTGCTTCTTCAGACTTAAGTATTGGGCCGCCGTTTTCTCAAAATGTGGGAAGTGAGTCAGTATTTGTTGTCAGTGATAAAATTTTCACTTTCAAGCGAAAATTAGAATTTCAGAAAACTTTTATCCACCACTTCTCAATAACATTCCAATAGGTTTCTAATAGAAAAGAACTGGCTAGGGATGGGGGAGATCAACAGAAAAATGGATAAATTATGATGTATTTATACAGTGAAACAATAGAACATAGGAAAAGTGAATGAAATACAGCTCCATGCAAAAACATGGGTGAATCTTAGAAACCGAATGGAGAGGGGGACAATGCTCAGAAAACTAAACACAATATGATACAATATTTAGGGATATACATATATGGGACTAATAAAAACAAAGCAAAAATAATGACAGTTCAGGATAGCAGTTTTCTTTTGGCTGGAGTTAGAGTGGGGATTGGGGAGCCTGGGATAGGGGAAGAGCCCACAACTAGATTCAAGCACATTGATAATATTCTAGTTCTTAGATTTGGTGGAGGGTTTACAGATGCTCATTGTATTGTTTTCCTTGGTAACTTAACATTATGTTTCATCTTTTTCTATGTATCAAATATTACAGAATAGATTTAAAATTTTTTTAATTTAAAAAGTAGATGGTGGTCATATGGGTCATTTAAAAAGATACATGGGGGCTGGCCCATGGCCTAGTGGTTAAGTTCAGCACACTCTACTTCAGCAACCCGGTTTACTTCCTGGGCACAGAACCACACCACTTGTCAGTGGCCATGCTATGGTGGCGATTCACGTACAAAATAGAGGAAGATTGGCACAGATGTTAGTTCAGGGCAAATCTTCCTCAGCAAAAAAAAAAACCCCATATATATTTATCTACATGGTATTCCACTGAATTGGATATACTATAATGTATTTTACCTGGCTAGGTTAAATATATTTGAGTTTATTGGGAAAATCATGTAACTGTTTTCTCTCGTTTTGGAGGTGATCATAGCTTGTGAGCATTTACCACATGCCTAGCATTCTTCTAATTAGTTCTTCACATGTATTAACCTATTTAATCCTTCTAACAACTCTATGAAGTAGGAACTATTATGTCTCTGTTTTAAAGATGAGATCCTGAGGCATAGAGGTTAAAGCAACTTGTTGAAGGGTGCACAGCTCACAAGTAGAAGAGCCAGAATTTGAACACATGCAGTCTGGCTCCAGGGCCTACACTTTTAACTACTATGCCTATATCACTTGCTATAATAGCATTTATTTAATAAGCTTATTATAATTAAAGGAGACTGTGTTTGTTGGTGTGGGGTGGTACTAGAGATGTCAGATGCAGTTATTGAGGTTATTAGGCCTCCTTGACAAGGCTGTGGTCCCCCTAAGTAGGGGAGGGTGGGGAGGGACAGAAGCCCAAAAGCTGCCTTCTTAAGAGCCTTTGCCAATGTGTTTGTATCTTCCCTTCTTCTAGAGACCATGGCGAGCCCAGGGAAAGATAATTATCGAATGAAGAGTTATAAGAACAATGCCCTAAACCCTGAGGAGATGAGGCGAAGAAGAGAGGAAGAGGGCATTCAGCTCCGGAAGCAGAAGCGGGAGCAACAAGTGAGTTAACTGGAATATTCTCAGACATACGGTTGGATGCGGAAGCCTCCAACTGCCGTGGTTAGCCTCCACCTTGCACTCTCACTTTCCTCTTAGGAGGCAAGTAGCTTAGCTCTGTGGGGCACTCATCCAGTCTCCTTCATTGTAAAGAAATATTGGAAGCTTTGAGAAAGAGAGAATCAATCCCTTATCCCTTTTCCATAATTTAGAACAACTTAAGACATCATTTATGTCTTCAATAGAACATTCTAGTTCTACCCCTTGTTGCCTTCTCTCTTCTTCACCCTATAGTCAGTGTTAGACCTGGCCTTCAAGCCCCAGCCCTAAGCCTGGCCCTTTAAGAAGTTCATCAGCCATTCTGGACTGCTTACTTCTGTTTCTTGAGTCCATTCTTTGTAAATCTCCCTGGGGTGAGACTATTTTAATGCCTCCCTTATTATCCTCTACACTCCACCACACACCACCACCAAATTAGTGCGCTGCCCAGGTCTAGATGCAATCACCTAACCTGCTTTTGTCCACCCCCTCTTGCTTTACCGTTATTCTTTCCTTCAAAGCCTTTTATACCCATCACCTTTTATACAAAGGGCAAAGAAGTCTTTAAAGATATTTTTGCTTATAAAAGTATTCTCTTGGGGCCAGCCTGGTGGCTCAGCGGCTAAGTGCACATGTTCCACTTTGGCGGCCCGGGGTTCGCTGGTTCGGATCCCGGGTGTGGACATGGCATTGCTTGGCAAGCCATGCTGTGGTAGGCGTCCCACATATAAAGTAGAAGAAGATGGGCACAGATGTGAGTTCAGGGCCAGTCTTCCTCAGCAAAAAGAGGAAGATTGGCAGCAGTTAGCTCAGGGCTAATCTTCCTCAAAAAAAAAGTGTTCTCTTAAAAAATGCAAACAATTAGATATAACATATAAAGCCTTTGAATATCTTTGCATGTCAGCTTATTAAGCTTGGCATTTTCTCAACTACACTAGCATTTCCTTGACAGTTACTCCATAATTTAACATTGGGTCATTCTTTGCTTCAGTGAGTAGTCTTGCTACCATCTCTTCTCTTTACTTTACTTTCAGCTTTTTAAACGGAGAAATGTGGAGCTGATTAATGAAGAAGCCGCCATGTTCGATAGTCTCCTCATGGACTCCTATGTGAGCTCTACCACTGGGGTAAGGCCCTTACATGCACTTTAGGTGGGCGTGGGAAATACCTGCTTCTACAGAACAGAAACTGGGCAGTTCACGTCATCTAGTAGCTTTGCCAACAACCGTACTAAGCTCTCTCTTCCATGGGCCCTTGTAGCTGGTCAGCCTAAGGAGTCAGTAAGGATTCATCTCTGATGGAGACACTTGAGGAAGGATTTAAGGAAAGCCATCGGTTAGTTGCCTCAGGGGTTAGGAATTACTTTCAAATGTCCCAATTTGAAGCAGCCATGGATTAAACAAACACCTTCTGAGCCTGCTGTTATGCTATCCTCTTGCCCTCAAGTCTTTAGAAAATAGGATGCCAAGCAGGATTATGTGTTCATATTTGGCTCTAGTTTGGGTTTGCACAGTCTTGAACTTGTTTTATGTTCTAGGAGAGTGTGATCACAAGAGAGATGGTGGAGATGCTCTTTTCTGATGATTCTGACCTGCAGTTAGCAACCACACAGAAATTTCGGAAACTGCTCTCCAAAGGTACAAAACCTGGTTCTCCCTAGAGAGGGGCCTTATGTGATGTAGACTCTTGTTTCTTCTCACTGACCGCATCAGCTTCTTCCCTTCACTCATTCTGCTCTAGCCCTACTGGCTTTGGTGTTCCTTTGACAAGCCAGGTACACTCTTACCTTTACATGGCGATTCGCTCTGCCTGGTATCCTCTACTTGCCAGGTATCTGTGTAACAACTCTCTCACGTCTATGATCAGATCCTGCCTTCTCAGTGAAGCCTACCCTACCCTATCTAAAACTGCAGGCTGCACGCCACCCTCAATGGTTTAATCTTGCCCTGCTCTACCTAGTCCTTTTTTCCCCACTACACTTAGTACCTTCTAACACAATAGAATGTCTCTCCACAGTAGGATATAAACTCCGTGAGGACAGAAACTTTTGGTTTTGTTCACTGCTGTATCCTCAGTACCTAGAACTATATCTGGCACATAGTTCATGCTCAATAAAAGTTTGATGTATGATAGGGAAAATTCTCTTGCCTCAGTATATTAAGCAGTCCTCCCAAGAAAAGAGTGCTAGTCTTAGAAGGGAAATGTTTAGACTAGGGTTGCTCATCCCTTGGGCTTTCTTCTCTCCCTTTCTTACTTGCTTAGGTAAGTAAGGTTACTTCACTTGCTTAGGTTCAGTAAGCCAAAGGTGAGCATACTTAAATTAGGATTGGCTTTACTCTTTAGCATCCGAACTGTATTATACAGGTCAAAGATGGCCAGCTATTGTTAAAACCACCTCACCAAAAGGGAGTTTGGGAATGTTTGTAAGGATAGTCAGGAGTTTCTAGGAAGGATGGTGGGCTGACCCCAGTGAATGCATCAGCCAAAGCCTTTCCTGACTTCCCCTCTCCTTCCTTTCTCCCTCCTCCAGAGCCTAGTCCTCCAATAGATGAAGTTATCAACACTCCAGGAGTGGTGGATCGGTTTGTGGAGTTCCTGAAGAGGAATGACAATTGTACATTACAGGTGAGGCCGGGGATGGAGGGGTACCAGATGAAAGCCCTTCTTCCAAGAAATTGCAGTAAGATGTTTCTACAGACACGTCTCTCAGGAAATGGACAAGTAATATAAGGAAACATTTAAGAGAAGCTATCAGTTGCCTCAGAGGTCTTGGCCTCAAATAAGAGAGCCAAAATCTCTTCCCAAAACAATCTCAAAGGAAAGATAACAGAATATGACAACTGATCATTCAGTTATAAATCAGAGGTTCAATTCCACGTCTAATTACCTGTGTGACCTGAGGCAAATCATTTATCCTGTCTGGGTCGCTCTTCTCAGAAATGGATGATGAGTCAATCCATTGGAATTTACTACAAACTCAGCTGAAAGGGACTTTGAGAGACTCATCTCACCCTATATCTAGCTTCAGAAATGAAGAAAATGAGGCTCAGGAAATTAAAAAGTGACTTGCTAAAGGACTCATGGGTGCTTTGGTGGTGCAAAACTACACCTGGGACCACTGAAGCCCGATTCCATCTTTCTGTTGCAGTACATCACTGCCCATACGTCTTCTCCCTTTTAAAGGGGGAGAGGAAAAGGCACGTGTTTTAGGTTTTTTTAGTCAGGAGCAAGGGGCTTACTCCTCTTGCTACCTCTTGCTTACTACCATGCCAGCTGATAGACATGGTTGCTCTGTGTGGAATGACCTCCTGATCATGGCTTAATCTCGCTTTCAGTTTGAAGCTGCCTGGGCTCTAACGAACATTGCCTCTGGAACTTCTCAGCAGACCAAAATTGTCATTGAAGCAGGGGCCGTCCCCATTTTTATAGAGCTGCTTAACTCAGACTTTGAGGATGTACAGGAACAGGTAATGCTCAAATTTGACTTAATTCTTTTTTTTAAAGATTTTATTTTTCGTTTTTCTCTCCAAAGCCCCCCAGTACATAGTTGCGTATGTTTTTAGTTGTGGGTCCTTCTAGTTGTGGCATGTGGGACACCACCTCAGCATGGCTTGATGAGTGGTCCATGTCCGCGCCCCAGATCTGAACCGGTGAAACCCTGGGCTGCTGAAGCAGAACACACCAACTTAACCACTCGGCCATGGGGCCGGCCCCATGGCTTAATTCTTGATGGTACCTATGGTATAGTAAAAAATACATTTGGTCTTTTTTCCCAGTTCCTGGCAAAGAGCTCCTAAAAACCTGGGAATTTTCTGAGTGATAGGAATGTATTTTGTTATTTATATAATGAGCCCCTTTGGAGCACACCTGAGTCTATACTAATGTGATGACTCAGGATGGGTCCCCTACATAGCCTTAGGATGGGGGTGGGGGGTGGCTGGTCATCAGAAAGACCAAACACAGGATTAGAGGGTGGGAACTTGCAGCCCCAACCTCCCAACCCTTCCTCACCCCTCCACCCCAGCCTTCCCAGGGAGGTTAAGAGGGCTGGAGATTGGGTTATAAAAACTCTTGAACAGTGAGATTCAGAGAGCTTCCAGGTTGGTGAACACATCGATGTGCTGGGAAGGTGGTGTGCCTGGAGAGGGCATGGAAGCTCTGTGCCACTTCTACTCCTCACCCCATACCTTGCCCTGTGTACACTCTTCTACTTAGCTCTTCCTGAGTTGCATCCATTGTAATAAACTGGGAAACATATGTAAAGTGTTTTCCTGGGTTCCATGAATCATTCTAGTGAATTACTGAACCTGAGGAGAGGATTGTGGGAACTTAAGAATTTATAGACAGTCGGTCAAAAGTACAGGTGGTACCTGGGAATTGCAACTAGTCTCTAAAGCAGGGGCAGCCTTGTGAGGCTGAGCTGTTAACCTTTGGCGTCTGCACTAACTCCAGGAGTTAGTGTCAGAATTGAATTGTTGGACACATAGTTGGTGGCAGAGAATCGGTTGCTGGTGTGGAAAAAACTCCACACATTTGGCATCAAAGGTGATATTGGAAAAAAGACACCACAGTGCCCATTTCTCAGTACCTACAGATCATAGAGATAAAGACACAACTTCTATTTTTTTTCCACTGAATTTTTGCTGGTTGGACAGGAGTGGAGAGCGGTACTGGAATTTTTTTCCTCCGTTACAACCTATAAGGTCAGTGCAGTGAGGCTATAAAAATGCAACTTTCCAATCACTTCCTCCTTTTCTGGAGGGTGGGGATAGGGAGGTCTTGGTTTGCTTCTCTGGCTGTAATACAGTTGTCAGCCTGTCTTCCCCACTGAATCAGGAACTCTCAGAGGAAAGGTCCTCACAGAGCAAGTGCTCAATAAGCATGTCAACAGGGTGGGTACCTGAGCTTGCTTGGTGTGTCTCAGGTTTTGATGTGGTTTTCGTCCTGGTTAGTGGTGGGTATTCACTCTGTAGTTGTGAATATAAAGTACTTGCAAAAGCCACTAGGCTCTGTGAGTGACAGTTCCATCATCCCCTTTTCAGGCAGTCTGGGCACTGGGAAACATAGCTGGAGATAGCTCCGTTTGCCGAGATTACGTCTTGAACTGTTCCATCCTTAATCCTTTGTTAACGTAAGTAATTATGATCATCTCTCCACCTGGGGCATCTATAGGGCAGCCACGTGGCAGGTCTACTGGGGGCAGCTTAACTTAAGATGATAAGTAACTACAAAAATGCTCAAAGTGCATTCTGATTGTCAAAGTAAAAGATAGGTATTTTTTGAGACTAAGAAGATTGTGCCAAAGATGATCTTGTGCTTCCTCACTTGGCACTGTAGAATCTCATGTTGGTCATACCTGCCTCATTGTTGAGCCAGAGGAGAGAGGCAGGACTAGCCCATCTGTAAAATCCAGCCTTCTCTACAGAATGCATTATTTGCTATGGATTTATGCATAGTTACATTGGAGAGCTCTTTTGTAAACTATAGGTCAAAGACCCCATGAGTGATTATCTGGATCCTTCTCCCATCCCACCCTCCCATACCCTTAAAGTAAAGCTACATCTAAACCAAAACAGAGGGGGAGGAGGGGGGAGCTCTTCTTCCGAGACCACAGTTTCATAGGTCATCATTATAACTTTTTCTTGAGCCCTTCACAGAAAATCATTCCATACTGCATGGCTAAAGCCCTCACGCTAGACCTTCAGCTTTTATTTCTAAGGAGAACAGTAACAACACTCCTTATTTAGAACTTAGGGCCACAGTTTGTCCTCTCTTAAAAGCTTTCCAGGCTTACTCAAGATCCAGTCCTGTGTCCTTATTAGCTATGGTTTTAACTAGCCACAGCAGATCCTAATTCTCTGTGAAGTTGTAGGTTGTCCTCTTGGCCCAAACAGGCTCAGTTAACTTAGATCTATAAATAGGAAGAAACAGTGAGGCTGCTGGGGTCTTATAGGTCTGATTGGATTTTCTCCTGGGGTTCGTCTGCAACAGCCCTATGCCAAGGGCATCATTGCTCAGGTTCTGGCTATGTTGTTTCCTTTAGACTCCTTACCAAGTCCACACGACTGACAATGACACGGAATGCAGTCTGGGCCCTGTCAAACCTCTGCCGAGGGAAGAACCCACCCCCAGAGTTTGCAAAGGTGAGAGAACTTCTTACTAGTTCCTGAGTGATAGCAGGTTTCTTAATATGGAGAAATTTTGATATGGGAGTTTTCAAATCTTTGGGGAACCACTTAGAATCTCAATCCATGGCAAACTGAAAGAGGTGATTGTCAGTGAAGTAGGTGATCTCATGTGCCTGAATGGTAAAGTGAAAAGTAGTCCTGATGGTTTAATGTAGAGATCTCCAGGGCTTAGAATTACTTGTAAAGGAGGGGAGAGCAATGTTAGGGTTAGTTGTAAAGCTGATGTGGCCGTGCCTCACCATGAGTCCCTCTCACTCTGCTTCCAACAGGTCTCCCCTTGTTTGCCTGTGCTGTCTCGCCTCCTCTTCAGCAGTGACTCAGACTTGCTGGCAGATGCCTGCTGGGCCCTTTCTTATCTGTCTGATGGCCCCAACGAGAAAATCCAGGCGGTCATAGACTCTGGAGTCTGCCGGAGATTGGTAGAACTTCTAATGTGAGTGGTCTCAGTTAGAAAGGGAACAGATTCCCTATGCTTCTCTGAGCTTAGACTAAAGAATTGCAGTCAGCAATCTGCTGCCCAATCCAGAGGTCTGGAGCCATGAGAGTGTTGCTAGCCTTGGTGGTCAGCAGGGCTGAATACCGTGTGCTGGCCCTCTATTGATCAGAGCTCTCTTCTCTGTAGGCACAACGATTACAAAGTGGCTTCTCCTGCCCTGAGAGCTGTGGGTAACATCGTCACTGGGGATGATATCCAGACCCAGGTAAGGAAGAGAGCTGTCTATGGACAAAACCCTTCCTTGCCAAGGACTTTGGTCCTGATGGGAGGCAGTGTGGTCTGAGAGAGAAAGCATGGACTTGAGTGAAAAATTCCAACTCAGCCACTTTTTATATGATCATAGGCAACTTGGTTGACACTATCTAATGTTAATCTCATGTTAATAACACCTCCAGTGGGGGCACAGTAAACAGGGTTCCTCTGTTCAAAGGCTAGAGATCTGGGTATTATTTGGATCTTGAGTAGTTGGCATAATTATGTGGCATTCTTGACAGATTTCTTACAAGTGAGTAATCTCACTCAAACCCACACTCTAATTTTCTAGGTGATTCTTTGTGTCTGCATACATGTGCAAATATTCATAACATAAAATGTACTGTTTTAACCATTTTTAAGTGTGTAGTTCAGTGGCATTAAGTACATTCATATTTGTATTCAGCCATCACCACCATCTATCTCGACAACTCTTTGGTCATCTCAAACTGTTTTGTACCCATTAAATAACTCCCCACTTCCCTCTGCCTTCAGCCCCTGGTAACCACCATACCACTTTTTTGTCTTTTATGAGTTTGACCACACTAGGTACCTCATAGAAGTGGAACCATATATATTTGTTCTTTTGTGTCAGCTTATTTTACTTAGCATAATATCTTCGGGATTATTCATATTGTAGCATGTGTCGGACCTTTATTCCTTTTTTATGGCTGAATAATAGTCCATTGTATGCATATACCATATTTTGTATATACATTCATCTGTGGATAGACGCATGGGTGGTTTTCACCTTTGGCTACTGTGAATAACCCTGCACTGAACATTAACGTACGAGTATCTTGAGTCCCTGTTTTCAGTTCTTTGGGTACATAGCCAGAAGTGGAATTACTGGATCATGTGGTAATTTTATGGTTAAGATTTTGAGGAACCACCATACTGTTTTGCACAGCAGCTGCACTATTTTACATTCCCAACAGCAATGTACCAGGTTCCAGTTTCTCCACATCCCTACCAACACTTCTGTTTTCTGGGGGTTTTTTGATAATAGCCAGCCTAATAAGTGTGAAGTGGTATCTCATTGCAGTTTTGATTTGCATTTCCCTAATTTTTAGTGATGTGTGGCATCTTTTCACATGTTTTCTGGCCATCTGTCTATCTTTGGAGAAATGTCTATTAAGCCCTTTGCCCATTTTTTTTTAATTGAGGTGTTCAGTTTTCTGTCGTTTAGTTGTAAGAGTTTTTTATACATTCTGGATATTAATCCTTACCAGATACATGATTTGCATATATTTTCTCCCATTTTGTGCTTTGCCTGTTCTCTCTATGATAGTATCTTTTGATGCACCAAAGTTGTTAATTTTGATTAAGTCCGATTTACCTAATTTTTCTTTTGTTGCCTATGCTTTTGGTGTTCTAGGTCATTCTTAACTGTTCAGCCCTTCCTTGCCTCCTCCACTTGCTGAGCAGCTCCAAGGAGTCAATCCGGAAGGAAGCTTGCTGGACCATTTCAAATATTACTGCTGGCAACAGGGCTCAAATACAGGTAGAACAAGCAGGAGAGAAGTCAGGGAGCAGGGGCCCAGGGGATGGCAGATGGGAAGACATGGGAACATGTGAGGTTGTGGGATATTCGCTTCTAGAAGAAGGAATTTGTTTCCCTTTAGAAATAGAGGTCAGTGTGTGTGTTGGTCACAGATTCTGTGTAGTGCAAGCCAGGTTCCTCTGTAGCCTTTCATCTACATGGGAAGAACAAGAGAGGACTCTCAGGAAGGGGAAGATGTCTAAATCTTAGCTGATTTTTGGGCTGGATTTGCTTTCTCTTCTTGAAGTGACTTTTTTCTCTCCCCATCTCCCCCACCAAATCCTCTCTAAGGCTGTCATAGATGCAAATATTTTCCCTGTGTTGATCGAAATCCTTCAGAAAGCAGAGTTCCGTACAAGGAAAGAGGCAGCCTGGGCCATCACCAATGCCACATCAGGAGGAACCCCTGAGCAGATCAGGTATCACATTCCTTTCCCATTGTCTTGAGTGATATATATGCCCTCTCCCTCTTGGCTCATGGTTTACATGTGACCTCTAAACTGCTTTTTCTGGGATAGGCCTTTCCCCATCCAGCTGCAGTAGAGTTTAACTGGTAAGCTGCTAGAGTGGCACTGGAGTCTGGATTAGGTTCCTATAGACCAGGTACCTCTTTTCTCTCCTTAAGAATAGAAACCTATGACACAGACATCCATCTCTCTTCTACCTCTTCCTCCCCTCTCGAGAATTTAAATCTGTGTAATTCTCAATTATCCCTACAAATGAAGGAGGACCATGCTATGGCTCATTCAAAGCAGCTTCTTTGGAAAATCATTTTTGAGGGTGATACTTGGGATAAGCAAATAGGTATTTTGTGTGTGTGTGTGTGTGTGTGTGTGTGTGTGCGCGCGCGCGCGCGCGCGCTCTTTGATTTTAGTTTCCATTCTCAATATGAGTAGAAGTGGTGGGAACTAGACAAGTGGCTTGCCTTCAGCTTGTAGCCTAGGAGGGGAATATATTCAGTATACAGAAAGCCTTAGGAGAAAAGGGATAGCTATTGATTTAAGCTTTGAAGGAAAAATACGGGGTTATAAAAGGCCTTTTGGACAGGAAGACGCATAGGTAAAGGTACAAGAATTAGAAACCTGGAGACCTTTACATGTTTGACTGGAATGTAGTGTCCTTGGAAGGGAGTGATGGGAGGCGAAGCTAGAAAAGGAGAGTAAGAGCCAGATTGTAGAAGGTCTTTATTGGCATGCCTGTAGAGCTTGGACTGAAAAATTTTCAGCAGAGAAATGATGTGTTCAGGGTGATAATTTTGCAGCAAGGAAACATTGGAGACTAGGAGGAGGAATCTGTGGCAGCCTCCCACATGGAAATGAAGTAGACCAACGGCATTGGGAGGCTGGGGAGGTAAAGGATGGGTGGTTATGAAGGCTCAGTAAGAGTGCATTGCTGAGAGTGCTGACGCGGATGAGGGAGGCCCACAGGCCCCACAGCACCTACCCAGCACGTCCCCAGCCCTGCGTTAATTTACGGCGTGCCTGGTCTCCGGCCTCCAGGTACCTGGTCTCACTGGGCTGCATCAAACCCCTGTGTGACTTGCTGACTGTGATGGATTCAAAGATTGTGCAAGTGGCCCTCAATGGACTGGAGAACATCCTTCGACTTGGAGAGCAAGAAGGCAAGCGCAGTGGCTCAGGGGTCAATCCCTACTGTGGCCTCATCGAGGAAGCCTATGGTATGTGCCCTCTCTCCACCCTCCCCTTTGCCTTAAGTAGAGCAGTTCCAGGTCAGGACCTGGGGACTGCAGGCCTCCAAAGCAGTATGCATGGTGAGGGTGTGTGTTTTTGGGGTCATGATTGAATGCAGTGTTTTATCCCACCAGTTGGTACTCCCTCTGAGGAGCAGTAGATCAGTTCTCTTTCTCATAGGCTCTGCCCAATAAGTAGGTATGGCACAGGTGCAAAAGATAAAGCTCCAGCGTTGATGATAGAATCAGGCACTGGAAGGCATGTTTTCATCTGAGTTTCTAGCAAATTCCAGTAAGAGTGCTGGATTCACTGTCTCTCAGAGATTCAAAGAGACTAATGATTTGCCCATGTCACACACGTAGTTAAAAGCAGAATAGATGGGGCTGGCCCCGTGGCCGAGCGGTTAAGTTCGCGTGCTCCGCTGCAGGCGGCCCAGTGTTTCGTTGGTTCGAATCCTGGGCGCGGACATGGCACTGCTCATCAAACCACGCTGAGGCAGCGTCCCACATGCCACAACTAGAAGGACCCACAACGAAGAATATACAACTATGTACTGGGGGGCTTTGGGGAGAAAAAGGAAAAAAATTTAAAAAAATCTTAAAAAAAGCAGAATAGAGACTAGAACCTCTGATTTATAAATCACATTTTGGTCGTTTTTCCTTGGGGGTTATATAGTTTCGGGGAGAGATCTTGGCTCTCCTCTCCCACGTCAAAAAGAGATCTGATCATATTACTTATGTTTATAAATACTAACATACCTCAGGGAAAGAAAAATAGATTATTTCATGGACTCATAGAAAAGCACTCAAAGTTTACTCTTCTCCTCCTTCCTTCCTTGCCACCACAGGCTTGGATAAAATTGAGTTTCTCCAGAGCCATGAGAACCAGGAGATCTACCAGAAGGCCTTCGACCTCATTGAGCACTACTTTGGTGTAGAGGACGACGATGGCAGCCTGGCCCCCCAAGTGGATGCGACGCAACAGCAGTTCGTCTTCCAGCAGCCCGAGGCCCCCATGGAGGGCTTCCAGCTATAATGTCGGCCTCCGGGGAGGGGAGGGAATGGGACGCACCACCGACCAGCGCAAAAGCAGCCCTCTGGTGGGCGGGAAACCAGCCCCCCACCATCAGCCACCACACACCTCTGCTGCCCTGGAAACTGTGCTCTTGACCTGCTCTGCCCCCTTCCCTGGAGGGAGCACCCTCTGGACAGACAAAACCATCTGAGGCTCATATTTGGGTTTTGTGACAAGAAGGGGACGTGTTGGGTTTTTCTTCCTTATGCTATATTTTGGCTGCACATATGTCTTTAACCCAGGAGCCCAGGGGTAGACAAAGGAGGACTGAGGTAATCAATTTTGCACCTTTTTTTATTTTTTATTTTTTTCTTTAGTGGTGACTTCCTTCCCTTTTATCTTCCTTCATCCTTCCCAGTCCTCTGCCCTGATCTGTGTAACTCTTTATCTTGGGTACTTGAGCAGATGGGAATATTCCAGAGGTAGGGGGGTGGGAGGGGAGGGGAGATATCCAAAACAAAGTGTTCTTGCTCTGACAGAATATTAATCTTGTATGCTTGGATTGAGTTATTTAATTTTTTTTTCTTTTGCACATTTTTCTTGTATTAAGATTGCTCTTTCCAAGAGCCACGAGTTCCTGGTTTTAGGAATCCCAGCTGCCAGCATTGTCTGGGACTAGAGGCTGAGGGGGAGGTCACCATGAGACAAAGACCCCCTTCCTCCCTCTAACCCCTTGCCCAGACCTCTTTAGTTTGGGAGATCCCCCTTACTCTCCTGGGGCAGGTACACCAGTGGGAGTGGAGGGGAGGAGCACAGGCCTTCAGATGGGGCTTCCCATGTGTCGCTACTGATCCCATGTTTCCTACCCACCTTCCAATGGTGCGACCCAACTTCATTTGTTTACTTGAAATTTCCCCTCGGAGTTGAATGAACCTCTGAGGTAGCTGTATTTTCTCCTAAGCATGAGACAGGGGGCTGTGGTCCTTCCTTTCTCCTGAGGAGAAAGTCCTTGCTCTGGTGACCCATAAGTTGCAGAGGAGGTTGGAGTGAGAGTGTCATGTATTGGGATAGCCAGGGATCCCTGCCTTTGGCATTTCTTCTTCTTCCTCTTCCACAGTTGGATCATGTATATTTTACTTCCAAAGGAGAGAATGTCAAAAAGTTCTGTATTTTTTTATATTCTATATATTAGGTAGGTCAATCTTAATTGGTCTCAAGAGGAAGAACTGTCTGTAATTTCTGTAAGTAGGATACTGTGAGGAAGACCAAAAAGAGATGTGGAAGCTCCCTCGCTCAGGAAGCCTGAGCTTGGACCTTTTCCTCTCTGCTTGGGTTCTGGGCCACCACCTGGGACCAACCCTTAGCTCTGGAACCTTTATATAGCAAGTCAGCCTGGTCTGATTGTCCCAGTACCTGGAGGAAGCAAGGATGGCCCCAGGGCTTGGTGAAGTCTACCACTCCAGTCCTTACTGCTGAGCATCTTGCATATATCAGGAAACCCAAAAAGCAGTCTGCCTTCTCAGATTCAGTCTCGAAGGTCCTTGTCCACATACTGTATCACTTACGGCTGCCTCTCCTATTATCACAGAAACCTGGCAGCCTCAGGACTTTTGTGAGAGTTATTGGTATCTTCCCTGTTTGCTGTCCTTGTACCTGGGTGGGGTTTTGCCCTTCCTTGTGACAGTTATAACCCTAATGCCTTTTCTTTTCTCTTTGAATAAAGCTAGTACAGTGCCTCAGCGGCTTGCCTCTGCCTCAATGGGTTACATATGATAGTAAAGTCCAGTTGTTGGGGATAGGGTGGAGGAAGCAGTTGGCTAAGTCTAGACCAGCTGTGGAGCTGAAGGCACAGTCCGCTCTGCCCCTGCTTCCCCACTGCTCAGTCAGAGGTGCCTTGCTCCAGGCTGTATCTTCCCTTCCCCAGAAACAATGCCATTCCTGCTCCTATTCCTACACATCCCCTCTGGCTGAGGTGAAACCCATGCCCCTCTGCTTACAGATTAAAGTTCAGGTGCTCATTGTTGCCCATTGGTCTTCAATTTGCCCTCTCTAGTGTTGAGATCCAACTCCAGAGCCATTTTCTGAGAAAGGTTGTTTGGGGCAAGTGGTTATCACTAAAAAGTCACAGCAGTGCTGTGCCACCTTAGTGAGTTACGGGCTGCTCTTCAGCATGGGGCTAGTAACTACCAACCCCCAATCTCCCAGGGAGGCAGGGGGCAGGACCTTTTTCACTTGGTCTGCTGACTTCATTATAAAAACGTTCTCCTACAGTTCAGAGAAAAGCTACTCCCCCTCCCTTGCCCTTGTCCAAAGGGCAGAGCACTTTAGTAGGATCTACTTTGTACATCTCAAAGAATAGTTGAGTCCCTGACATTGGGGCCAAATTCTTATTGTGAGACATACACATGCCGCTTTTCCCAACTATTCCTCCAAAATCTACTTTCACTTCAGATCTGGGTCCTGTACCAGATGGAAGATGCTTCTGATCATCTGGCTGCTGTTTAAAGCCAGTTTTCTCCAAGGACTTCAAAGGCGGAAGTTTCTCCCAGGGCACAACCTGACAGATTTCTCATCAGATTAAGTGGCCTCTAGGAGCTTTCCTTTGTTGGTGTCTTCCTTAGACCATGTTTTCCCATTATCTTCCTTTAACCCCTTTTTAGTCAATAGGCAAAGTTCTTCCAACCCACAGAGGCAGTAACATCATCTTTTGTGTCTTGTTCTCTCTTTTGGCCATCTTGGAAAGCAAATACTATTTCTTTAGCCCAGGCTTGACAGCCACTCTTTGTGGGCAGCTCTCATCTGGACTCCATACCCTGGCCTAGGTCAGGTCAAAGGCTTTCTGGTAGATTTCTGATGGGACATTGCAGGAATGGAAGGGCTCCCCCAGCCTGCTGTAGGGAATAGCCTGATAAGACATGTTTTTGGAATCTTTAAGATCTCTGGTGGGGGTGGACGTACATCTAGGTGTGGATTAAGGGAACAAGGAGCCTTTTTCTTAACTAGAGTATTGAAAAAATGTTTTGAACAGTGCCAGCTATCTATTGCCAGCCGCCCTGGGCATCCCACCCCAAGATCATCTTCTCTAATACTAACAGTGTCTCTGGTCTTAGAAGTCTGCTTTCAATTCTGAGCTGTCCCCAGTGACTGCCTACTCTTGGTGTTGGCTGCAACCTTCTGGTAGAACCATAGGGTTCTACCCTCATCTGGCCAGCCTGGTCACTTGGGGTAATGAGTACCAATGACCCTTTTAAGAAGCAGGTGTTGATGACCTCAGCTTTTCTTAGATCTACTCCTCCTCTCTTTACAGTGGAAGCCTCTCTCCAGGAGCCCTGTTTTGTGGAGCTAAACTGCATGGATTATAGCTGCTTCTGTACTTAGTGAAGGAGGAGCAGAGAAGGCTCTCAGGCGCTGACTTTCTGTTTCCTTCAAGCCAAACCAGTTTACAATGACAACCATCTAGCAGAATGAACTGGATTTCCATTTTCTCATGTCTCCCTGCCTTCTTCCTGCATTGTAGAGTTACCCATTTCTAGCAAACTACAAGGGAAGGAAATGAGTGCCTAGTAATAGTCCCATCCTCATCCCCCGTGCCCCTCTTTAAGGGCCTCTGCTCATTGTTCAGGCCACAGCTCTTCTCCCCAAGGCTCACTCAGCTTGGTATCCGTCATTTTGGTTATTCCTCAGTAGATTCATCTTGTGGGCTAAGATTCTGGATTCTCAGTTGAAGGCAGTCAGATTGTTCAAGTCCCTGCAGACACCACAGGGACCCAGAGGGAAAACAGGCTGGCTGGGGGCCTCAGGAATGTATATGACTGTCTGCCTCTCTGGGACGCTGGGCAAGGGTGCAAGGCTCAGTGCACTGAAGCGTAGGAAATGCTCATAACCAGTAGCAACATCTTCCAGGTAGGACTATCCTAGAAGTGAGTGTGAGAGTGAGAAATTGCCCATAGTAGGTTTCTTCCACAGCCGTTTTAGGATTGCACATTCTAGACCAAGTCCAGTATTTTTTCTCTTAACTTTTGGATTCTTTTGTTAAGCCAGCAAACTGAGAATTGGGCCCTGCGGGGATCCATGTGGTAGGCACCAGCTGCTCTTTGACCAAGGCCTTCATAAATGACTCAGTCATCCCATTGTCTATCCCCTAGCCCCACCCCCAGACTAAGACCATGGCACATGAAGAATTTGAGGTCAATACCAAGCAAGTCTGTGAACTAAAGCTGTTATTTTTCCTCTGCGAGGGCATTTTGCATCAGGCCTGGGCTATGTGCAGAACCAAAACTGGGTATGAGAGAAGAGGCAGCATTAAATTTTGGGCCCAGAACACCCTGGCAGAAAGGTTTGTGTGGTGTGTTATAAAGGTCATCAGTGGGTTTGGGCTTCCCTTGCTACTTCTGGGCCAGCCTGACTGCTGATGTCTGCATTAGCACATACCTGAACCCCTCTGCTAACCCCTAGCCCTGCTCCCCTGCGTAGGTCAGATTTTCAGCCCCTGGGTTTGGGGAGAGAAAATTCTGCCATGCCCTGGGAGCAGTGAAGGAAGTCAAAGCTTAGACCTTGAGACGGGCTGGGAACCTCTGACTCAGAGGTTAGCCTTAAGAGTCCACCTCTACAAGAACCCTCAGGTCCTGGGGTTAGGTATTGGCTCTTTCAGCCAGCTTTTGTGGGAACTGCCTTTGATTGAACCACTAAAGAAGTGAAGGGGGTGTATGAGGTCCCAGCCACCTAAGACAAACCGGATGTCCCTCAGAAACAGCTTGGGTTCCCAGCTAGAAACCTAAGGAAGGTGAATCGAACCCTTTTCCTCACTGATTTTTCTTTCTAAATTCATTTGCTTTTAGTTTTCCAAGAACTGTAAACTGGCTATTTTCTATGTTCTCAGGGCCCCTGGGTAGACAGACAAAGCTTGATGATTTCAGAGCAGACATAGGCCAAGAAACCATGGCATTGAGTGTGCTGAGTCCAGACAAATGATATTTATATACACATCCAAATTTGAAGAGAAAATGTATTTCTTTAGGTTTCAAACACTGTAATAGATATAAAGCGAAAATAAAAACCTGTTGCAAAGTTCTAAATCGTCTTCTTTCAGAATGAGCCTAGATTTTGTGGAAGTGAATGAGGAGAGGGTGTTTAAACTTGTGGCCCAACAGTGGAATTAAGAATTGCAACAGCTTGGGCTGGCCTGGTGGTGCAGTGGTTAAGTTTGCACATTCTGCTTCTCGATGGCCTGTGGTTCGCTGGTTCGGATCCTGGGTGCAGACATGGCACTGCTTGGCAAACAGCCATGCTGTGGTAGGCATCCCACGTATAAAGTAGAGGAAGATGGGCATGGATGTTAGCTCAGGGCCAGTCTTCCTCAGCAAAAAGAAGAGGATTGGGGGGCTGGCCCCGTGGCCGAGTGGTTAAGTTCGCGCACTCCGCTGCAGGCGGCCCAGTGTTTCGTCAGTTCGAATCTTGGGCGCAGACATGGCACTGCTCATTGAACCACGCTGAGGCAGCGTCCCACATGCCACAACTAGAAGGACCCACAACGAAGAATATACAACTATGTACCGGGGGGGGCTTTGGGGAGAAAAAGCTAAAAAATAAAATCTTTAAAAAAAAAAAAAAAGGATTGGCAGTAGTTAGCTCAGAGCTAATCTTCCTCAAAAAAAAAATTGCAACAGCCTGCTCCTGCTATAAAGAATGGTTTTTTAATCTGCTTTATTGAAATATAATTGACATACAGTAAATGACACATATTTAAAATGTACAATTTGATAAGTTTAATCACTACAATCAAGACAGTAAACATATCCATCACCTCCAGAAGTTTCCTCATGCCCCTTTGGAATCCCTCCTTCCTGCCCAACCCCCAGCAACCACTGATCTGCGTTTTGTCAATATAGTTTAGTTTGCATTTTCTAAGATTTCCCTGAAGGATTTTGACATTTCATCAGCACCATTCCACCACCCTTTGAGCCCATTGAGGGCATACAGTTCACCAACTACCCACTTCAGTTTCAATTCCTAAAGCATAGGTTACAGACAAGCAGCCAAAAAGTTGGTTCAACCCAAAAGGAGGGTTTTGGTTGGCTGATAGAGTGTGTTTAAGGTTTAATTTGTTGCCAACATTTAAAAAAATAAAGATGTATCTATCTTGAAAAATATCTGGCACTGTTGGGCCTGAGTTTCTGCTTGAAAGCAATCTGCAAGAGCTCCCTTTTACCACAATCACCGCCATTCTCAATGGTCTCCTTGACTGACAGGCAGATGCTCACATTGTTGCTATTCTTTCCATCAGATTTCCTTATTCCTTGTCTGCCTGCTCTACTCATTACCCAGCTGGCCTTGCAGGCCACTGTTGATCCTGATACACCACCCCTCACCCCATGCATACCTTGTTCTTGCTGCTTATGTTCTTCATCTCTGCCCAGAACACACTCTTCCTATGAAAATCCATCAAGGTTTGATTTATATGTTACCTTTTCAAGAGATTTCCAATAGGCTTTTCTGGAAGTAAGCAGGGCCTTGGTTTTGTGAGCCCTGGATTCCAAACTTCAGAGCTTGAGTGCCACCATTATACTGTTATACCGCATTGCCTCTCAGTGTTTCCTGGGAAACGCAAACTCCTGCTGCCTAAGGGGGAGACAACTGCCCTGAAGTCTCTAACTGGGGAAAATACTTAACACGTTAACAGCCCTAAAAGCCCAATTGGCACAACAATTTAAAACTTTCTCTGCCTCCAGGATGATGCTGGGCTTTAGGACTAGAGAATTTAGCCAATAGTTCTTGCCATGTCATTGATTTGTAAAGCAGGTCATTTCAACACCTCCTTACTAATGCTGTAGTAAGAACTCTATCCAGATCACTGGCAAGGGTTTGAGCTGGGCCTCAAAAGATTTTGTTTTTGCCAGAAGGCTACTTTGGAAGGTGGAATAGCACCTGCAAAAACCTAGGAAATCCTGGAAACAGAAGTATAAGTGGAGCAAAAAAGGCAGAGGGGATAGGCAGGATTGGCTGGAAACAGAAGCCAAACCAAGTAGGCATTAAATTCTAAGTGCACGAGTCGTCGGTTTTTATTCCATTACCTATAGGTAACTGGGTAAAGAACTGTGATACCACTTCTGCAGAGAAGTTGGGCTTTTTTCCCCTTTAGTCCCAGTGCAACTGAGACTTTGTAGAGAGTGGGCCAGTCAGAGAAAAGGCTCAGGAATCTGCCGAGGCCAAACTTCCCCTTGCAAGGTCCCCTTACCCCTTCGAAAGAGGGACTCGAGCTGGTAATGGGACGGGGAAAACATATAACCTACTTTTACAAGTTACCTTGACTCATCCTCAGGGAGAGCACGCCATGGTGGTGATTTCTTCTGGGTAAGAGGCAGGGTAGTCTAGTAGTTAGAGATGGGTGCTGGTGCCAGACTTCCTAGTTTTGAATCTCTGCTCTAAACACTCGATAGCGATGCGACCTTGGACAAGCTATCTAACCTTTGCCTTACCGTCCTCAAGTGTAAAACGGGAATAACAAATAGCACTTAAACAGTTATGAGGATTAAGCTAGCAGATACCAGGAAAGCACACTGTAAGCGCTCAAAGAACTGCTATTGTTATTAAAAGCTTCTATTTGAATACGGAAATTGAGGCCCTGGGATAGAAAAAAATTACTGGTCACACAGCAAATCAGTGATGAAGTTAGGACTGGAACACAGGTCCCCTGCTTCCCAGCCCAGTATTCTATCCCTCCTCCTCAGAGCTCCTAGATAGTCACAGATGTTCACAGAAGGGAGGGAGGGGTGGAGGCGTGTAGGAAAGAACAGCCAGGCGCAAGGCTTTGCGAGCTGAATTATAGCTTCTGCGTGATAAAAACGAGGTTGACGTGCATTCGTACGGAATGACTGGCTCCTTCCAGACCTCATGACTATCCAGCTCCTAGACTAAAGCCTTTCCTATTGCATCTTGGGAGTTGGGGTCAGCCCCGGTGCATGGAGGGACTTGTAGTCCTTTCCCTCCCCCCACCTCCCCAACTTACCCGCCTCAGAGGCCGCCTTCGTTTCATCTTTCCCAGCAAGCCTCGCGAGAGCGCCGGTTATTGATTGGCTGCGGCGGGAGCAGGCGGCTCTGCCCGGCAGCGGTTACCCGAGGTTTCCGTTGCGAGGCCAGAGCGGGCGAAGCCGTCGGGCCGTCGGCGGTGAGGTGCGTTCCACGGCGGCTAGAGGGACGACATGATCAGACGGTCTGTGGGCCTGAACGCTTTCGGCCAGTGCGGGGAATCATGCCGATTCTGCGCGAGGGCTCGGGTCGGGGGGCAGGGCTGAGGCCTCTGCGCATGCGCGCTAGGCGCGCGGCTGGGGGGGGTGCGCGGGGCGTGGGGGGCTGCGCGCGCACGCGCGCGGGGGGGCCCACGTGGGCCCTGGGGGGCGGGGAGGCACCCGGAATCGAGCGGCCCGCCACGTCAGTCTCCCGCCCTGAGCCTATCCCGCGCTCGGCCTGCGTGGGGGGCCGTGTTGTGCCGGGAAGCGGTTTCAGGATAAAGGAGGCCTCCCGTTCCCGGAGCAGCGCCCCGAAAATCTGCTTGGGCGCACCAGGTTCCCATGACCGGCCAGAGACAGGGGGAACCGTTGGCTCCCTCCGGGGAAGGCCGGCCAGTTTGTTTTAAGAAGCTTTGTGCGTCCAGTGTTGAGATTTCTGATCCAGGCTGCGAAGAATTTCTTAGTCTGGAAAAGAGCAAGTGTGCTTGTTTCTCTAGGATCTGCTACCTAACCTAGCATTGCAAACCGCAATGAAGAACCAAGACAAAAAGAATGGGGCTGCCAAGCAATCTGGCAACGCTTCCAACCCAAAAAGCAACCCAGGGCAACCGGAAGCAGGACCGGAGGGAGCCCAGGGGAGGCCCAGCCAGGCGGCTCCTGCGACAGAAGCTGAAGGTTCCACAAGGCAGGCTCCGGGGAAGACTGAGGGTGTGTGCCAGCTCTGCTTTTCCAGCGGGCCGGGGGAGGAGTTTGTGATGCCCTAGCCTAGCTTCTGGAGTTAGAGGCCAAGGCCACTGTTTACCCAGGAAGGAGGAAATACAGAATGGGAGGAGGACAGTGCCGAGTCTGTGCGATCCCCGCCCTTTCCTGGGGAGTTGCTAGAGCCCCCCCACCCTGAGCAGAGGAACAGAACTCTCTTGAGAGAACGCTCCGACAGGATTAAATCAGGTAGCAGTCAAATGAGACGCTCAGGCAGCAAATCCGGGTTAGAAACACCTCACGCACCAGTGGGTAACTGCTCTTCATGTGTGAGGCATTTCTGGAACGTTTTTAATAGCAAGAAGTGACTTTGCAGGGAGGAGAAGGGGACGGGCTAGACGTTGAGCTCCTACATGCCTTGCCTATGTCGGATGCTTTACTTACTCAGTTTCTTTTATACCAAAAGCAAACACGGTTGTGCAGCAGTGAGAAATAATTATATCATTTTATAAGTAAATAAACTGAGGCTTAAAGCGGTTAGGTGATATCTAACCCAAACTAGTAAGTTTGGACCTGAAAAAGCCCAACCGTTGGTATAACCATCCTATTTCTCACTCTGCTGCTCCTCCTCTCCTACTGTAGGAGCACAAGCCAAAACTGCTCAGTCTGGGGCCCTCCGTGATGTCTCTGAGGAGCTGAGCCGCCAGTTGGAAGACATCCTGAGTACATACTGTGTGGACAACAGTCAGGGGGGCCCAGGTGAGGACGGGGCACAAGGTGAGCCTGCTGAACCTGAAGATGCAGACAAGTCCCGTACCTATGCTTCGAGGAATGGAGAGCCTGAGCCGGAGACCCCAGTAGTCAATGGTGAGAAGGAGACCTCCAAGGGGGAGCCAGGCACAGACGAGATCCGGGCAAGTGACGAGGTTGGAGACCGAGATCACCGAAGGCCACAGGAGAAGAAGAAAGCCAAGGGTCTGGGTGAGCAGAGGGCAGCTACTTGTGAGGCTGGTGATGGGGAGGAGTTTGGACCTGACATTCCTTGGGCTAGCCTGTTCTGCCAGGATTCAGAGGAAACCCTGCTTCTCAGGGCAGCGTGTCACACTAGTTTAATCAAAGCCAGGGTTTTGGGACCATTGCATAGAAGTGCGCAGGTTGTTCACTGCACAAGGGCTTCTGGCCTCGGGAGCGAGTGGAAACCGAAATCCAAGCTGCGCTCTTGGAGGAAATGGAGAGCAGGAGACCTGAGGGGCTCCTGTACCAGCCAGCACCGTTTTTAACCTGCTCTGTGACCTTGGGCAAGACCTTTCTCCTCTCTGGTCCTTAGTGTTCATTTCCCTACAGTAAGAACCAGACTAGACCAGGGTTGGAAACTCAAAGAAGCCAAGTTAGCGGGGGTGCCCCGTGACCACCAAAAGAGTACCTGCTTCATCTAAAGGATTGGCTGCCACCTAGTCCCAGCAAGTTGATAGCATGTAAAACCACAGGCGAAGTGTAGCCAGCCTTGTTTTTTAAAGAAAAGACAGAAATCTAGAGTTACGTGAAATCTCTAGATTTTTAACAGTTGGCAACTAATATGCTGGGAATCAAACAAAATCACTCTGTGGGTTGGATTTGGCTTGTGTGCCAGCAATTTCCAGTCTGCACACTGATCTCGGAGTCTCCCAGGGTTGACACTTCAGGAGCCTGGTGTTGTGCTGTGTTCGGCAGCTTTCCGGGTGACAGCAGGAAAATGGGACGCGGGCACAGGCAGTGGGGGAAGGTCACTTGGGCGGGGGCGGGAGTGGGGCTGGGGGCGAATGTGTGTGAAAGAATCAGTTAGGTGGTGTTATACCCGTGTCTTAGTCCCTACTCCTCCACCTCCTACTTCCATTCGGGTTTAAAGCGGGTAGTTTTTGTTGTTGTTTTTTGACCTTTGGATCAAATATTGGAAGGTATATTCATTTGAAAGCTCGCTCTTTGGCTAGGTGCGTTGACAGGAGTTTAGTAGTTCTTAAGGAGACCTATTCCTCTTTGCATCCTTCCTCTTTCAGAAGGGCCTTCTTTGTACGGAAACAGTAGCAGTGCATTCATTGGTGGACACCTTCCTTTCACCTGTTGGTAGAGCAGGCACTTTTTTTTTTCCTCCCAGCCCTGGTGCTCACCAAGGAGATCCCACAGAGATTCAGTCGTTCATTTCAGAAGCGTTTGCTGAGCCTGTCCTCTGTGGTGGGCACTAGGGGCAGTGCTGGGGCTACAGTGACAGGCAGAAATGAGTTGGTCCCAGCCCTCATGGAGCACACAGTCTAGCAGGGAAGACAGCCAGTTCAACAAGCAGAAATAGAAAGTGTGATAAGGGAGGGCTGCCTCGGGGGGAGGAGTGTGGGCCCAGGCCTGGAGGACCCCCGAGAAGGAGGTCCACGCCTTTGCTCCTGGTGCTTTGCAGGGAAGGAGATCACGCTGCTGATGCAGACACTGAACACGCTGAGCACCCCGGAGGAGAAGCTGGCAGCTCTGTGCAAGAAGTATGCTGAACTGGTCAGTGCTCCCCCTTCTCCTCGCCCCGTCCCTGCCTCGGAAAGTCAGCAGGCCACCTGGTGTGGGGTTGCGGGTGCAGGGGCAGGTGGCTGGCTTCATTGCTTTTCAGCCGCTCTCTCAGCCTTTTCTCCTTCTGTTAAGGGGGGGAGTCACGTCCCAGCCAGCCTCTTGAGGTGAGAGGTAAAGTAAGAGGGGAAACTTCACGTTCCAGTGGGAGAGCCCTAGCTCCTGGCCCAAGTCCCGGGTAGCATGTCACCTCACCCCTGTGCGCTTCAGTATGCGTCTTCCCAAAATATGAAAATGCACAGTGCCGTCATGCCACTTAACAAAATTAACGCTAACCACTTGGTGTTCTGTAATACCCAGTCCGCAGTCAAATTTCCCCAGTTGTTTAAAAATTTCAGTTTGGTCAAATCAGAGTCCAAATGAGGTCCTTTTATTACATTGCGTAGTTAGGCCTGTTTTTTCCTTTTACTTCAAAACGGTCTTCCTCTCACGGCCCCTCTCTTTCCTTTGACATTGACTTACTGATCAGTTGTCCTGTAGGTGCCCCACTTTCTAGCTTTGTGGTGGCATTTCAGTTGCTCCCTTATCATCTTAGTTCCTGTCAGTGAAGTAGCACTTAGCTCTAGGAGTTTGAGCCAATTCAGGGTCCACTTCTTGGACAGGAATTTTTCATAGGTGGTGCTCGGAACTTCCTGTGGCATCTCAGGAGAAACAGCTTGTGCGTGGCCTACTCTTAGTGATGGAAGATTGTTCAGTGGGTCCCAGTGGGCCATCCAGGGCTCTCCCTTGTCAAATTCCCCATCAGAATGTGAACTAACAGGTTCATCCACTGAAGATCATTGCCTAAGGACTTATTTTTAAATTCTTTCATTCCATCCACACTTATTAGCTGGAGTTCTCCTGTAAGAAACTTTTCTCATCTGTAAAATGGGGGAAATCATACCTGCCTAATGGGGGTTATTATAATGATTAAATTAAGGAAAGGATATGAAAAGGATTCCTCCCTTTCAGAATGATCCAGCTGGGGAAAGATTGGTGATGCCAGAGGAGGAAGTGAGTTGCTAGAGTGGAGTGATGTTGGAGAGGAAATGAGAGGAGGTGAGGTCCAGGGCACAAAGAGAGGGGTCCTCGTGGCTGGAGGAGACGACAGGTGCAGGGGACTGGCCGGTCTGGAGCTTGTGCCCCTGCGCCTCTGGCTGCTTCTGTGTTCTCAGGGAAGTGGGAATGATAGTTTTAGCTGGGGCGGAGGAGATCTGAAAAGGAGGATGGAAGAGCTGTCTAGAAGAGGAGCATGAATAACATGAGAAATGTAGGAGGAGCAGTAGGCAGACCAGGGTCTTCCTGAAAGGGGGGGGTCATGAATTTAAAGTGAGATTCTTCAAGCGGGGCGGCTTCAGTGCCAGTGCAGAGTGAGCAGGAGGTTGATGCCCAGGGTTGGGATTTTGCTGAGAAAAGGGGGCAAGAGAGTTGAGGGTGTAAGAAATCTAAGCCAGGTAAGAAGCTAAGTGATTATTCACAGGAGGGTTGGAAGAAAGTGAAAGGATGGTTGGGTCACTGGACTGGACTTCCCGTAGAGTAAGAGACTCAGACAAATCTGTTGGAGGCACTGAACCAGAATGGTAGGTGGCGGTGGTCCTGGCTTGGGATGAGACAAAGGAGGTCAGTGCAGTTCCAGGTCATGACGAAGTCTAGGCCTGCACTGTCCAGGACAGTAGCCACTAGTCAATTGAAATGTGTCTAGTCTGAATTTGGATGTGCCCTACGTGTAAGATACACATCGGATTTCAAAGACCTAAGGGAAAAAGGAACAATGTAAAATATCTCAACTTTTTATATTGACTCCAGTTGAAATTATATTTGGGGGATCCGCCCAGTGGTGTAGCAGTTAAGTTCACACGCTCCGCTTGAGCAGCCCAGGGTGCACCAGTTCGGATCCTAGGCGCGGACCTATGCACCGCTTACCAAGCCATGCTGAGGCAGACGTCTCACATATAAAATAGAGGAAGGGGGACACAGATGTGAGCTCAGGGCCAATCTTCCTTAGCAAAAAGAGGAGGATTGGTAGCAGATATTAGCTCAGGGCTAATCTCCCTCAAAAAAAAAAAGTTTATAATATTTGGGTATTGGATTAAATAAACTTTTTTGTTCGTTTGTTTTTGTAGAAGATTAGCCCTAAATATACTATGAAAGCTAATTTCATCTATTTCTTTTTACTTTTTTAAATTGGCCGCTAGACAATTTTTCATTACATAATTGTCTCGTATTCTAATGTGCAGCGTTGTATAGTCTCATGGGAGGAGAGGACAGGGTCTGAGGAGGTTAAGGACTGTGAAGCCAGGGAGTCAGAAGAGTGTCTGTTGGTGATAAAAATGCCCAGATGATAATAGGAGTCATGTTAAAGAGCAAAATGGTGAGCCAGTGCTCAAGTCTTGGAGCAGTGGGAGGGAGTGACGGGGTCTGTTGATGAGTACAAGGAGGGGTTGCAGGTGGTCTCATCTGAGGGTGCGTGTCCCGAGAGCTGGGGGAATGTAATGGTGTGAGAGTCCGGAGAGCTGGGAGAGAAACTGGGGTGTGCTGGCTGTGCACCTCTGCTTGTCCTGTGTGAGTGGCCCTTTCAATAGCCTTGAGATGAGGCCCTTGAGAGGAGATGGGGTTGTTGTGAGGAGTAGGATGGAGTGTGTGCAGCACCCCTGCACTGTCTGGCCTCTGCTGTTAGGGCTTGAGTCGGGACAGAGGGCCGGGTCAGATCAGCTGAGGAGACCCTAGATCCCCATGGGGAGAGCCCCTCGGGGTGCTTACCCGCCCTCGCCATCCGCAGCTGGAGGAGCACCGGAACTCGCAGAAGCAGGTGAAGCTCCTGCAGAAGAAGCAGAGCCAGCTGGTCCAGGAGAAGGACCACCTGCGCGGCGAGCACAGCAAGGCCGTCCTGGCCCGCAGCAAGCTGGAGAGCCTGTGCCGCGAGCTGCAGCGCCACAACCGCGCTCTCAAGGTAGGCCGGCCGGGCCCCTGGGAGGGATGGCTGGTTCCCTTTGACTGCCGCTTACCTTCGCTGGGCTCTCCCCTAAAATGTAGCACAGGCTTTCAGCATAGAAACGGGTTTCCCCGTTAACGCCCTACCTCAGAGCTGCTGGCAGCCGGTTGGCGTGAGCTGCTTACATTAGGTGAGGTGAAGACTCAGGTGCGGAGAGAACCCAAGAGGCAGGGCGTCAGGAGTGCTCAGCTCAGCGGAGTCCTCGGGGAGCCAGGGCCCAGCGCTGACAAGCAGCTCTCCTCCCAGAGCGGTCAGTCGGGGTCCTTTCCCCGCCTTCTGCTTCTCTGAGGGTGGGGTCGGACTGCTCAGAGCCCGGCCACTGCCGTGACCTCCAGATGGTTTTTGTACGCGTACCCTTTGTATGTTTCTTACAAAGTTTAGATCAGTGAATATATGGTATTGCTTATTTTTAGTTTGTCTCTTAAAACATCAGAAATTTAATGCAGTTAGATGTAAGGGATTCAAAGGTGACAAGGTCTGACAAAGCAGAGGGGCTAGTGCCCACCCTCCTCACCCCAGTGCCCGGCACACCCACAAGGAGTAACCTCACTCACGTAATTTATGCACAGCCTTCTAACTTTCCTGTCTGCTTATAAAATCTTACCTACAGCTTTTTAAATGAAATTATTATACATGTCTTGTTTCATATCCCATCCCATTTTCTCACTTTACACGATGCCTTCTCCCTCCCTGTCAGTTTATAGGGCCAGCTCATTCTTTGTAACAGCATCGTTATATGGATATGCTGTATTTTGTCAGTGCCCTAGTTAAGGTATTTTTGGGTTGTTTCCAGTTTTTCACTTTTACATATATAGTGCTACAGTGAAAATTCTTTTTATATATATCCCTGGCTAATTATATAGAATTTATCCACAGGATAAATCTCAGAAGTGAAATGAATGAATCAAAAAGTAAGCAGATTTTAAAATTTAATAGATTTTGCCAGATTGCAAAATGAGATGCTACATGGCCTCCCATCAGCAGTGGCTGAGTGCCTGCTTCTGTGCATCCTTGCCATCCCTGGGCATCAGTGAATTTTAACTGCTTGGTTGGGGAGCAGGGTGCAGAGCACAGGGATGAAAGCACATTAAAACAAGACTCCTTAATCTGAAATCTGGAAGAAAAGGCTTCAGGAGATCCAGGTTGCTTTACAATGGCACTTCCACGCAGGCCCGCATTTTTCTAGAGAGAGAACCTCTTACTGGGTGCCATCTGAGATACCAAGGAGGCCATTAGGAGCCCCCATGCACAGGATCGTGGAGCCTGGCTGCTCCTCCGTTGAGAGCAGGGAAGGCTGTTGATAGAGACCATGCCTGGACTAGCTGGGGGAGCCTGGTGAGGCTGGCCGGGGAGCAGTGGATGATGGAGCTGGGGCCGACTTCTCTGCCCAGGAAGAAGGCGTGCAGCGGGCCCGCGAGGAGGAGGAGAAACGCAAGGAGGTGACCTCGCACTTCCAGGTGACGCTGAATGACATTCAGCTGCAGATGGAACAGCACAATGAGCGTAATTCCAAGCTGCGCCAGGAGAACATGGAGCTGGCTGAGAGGCTCAAGAAGCTGATTGAGCAGTATGAGCTGCGAGAGGAGGTAGGGTATCATCGACAGCCGTCCCAGCCAGGGAATTGCGGGGCTCTGGGTGTGTGCTCGATGCCGGGACAACACTTTTCAGGCTTCGTCCCATTCTCCCATTCTTCCTCCTTCCTTAGGAGGGGAGTAATGTCATGCATCCTCATATAGACGAGGCACTGAGGTGAAAAGACACTTGCCTATGGCTGTACAACCACAGGTCCACAGCGCCCTGTCCCAGATGGTAGGGCCAGATATCTTTAGAACTATCCAAGTTTGAGAATGGAGATAGGTATACATACTGTGTATTGCAAGCCCCAGCAGGGCCCTATGGCAGCACTTCCAAATCAGACACGTCAGTATTTATGCAGTTAAACTTGTGAATGCTCACCTGGATTATAAATAGCCTTATAGTGGTACCCGTCAGGTTTGTCTCCAGCTTATGACAATTTGAGTTTTCAGTTTTTGAGGATTTGGCATCTCAGGGGAGGAGCTGGACCTCTAGTCAGTGATTGACTCCAGGATCTGTGTCCTCTGATTCCTTGCTTCTCTGCTGCCCATGCCACCTGAAAGGGCAGGATGTCACTGCCTTAGCTCGTGTTGGCTGCTACCCAGCACTTGAATCCCTGTCTTTTGGTCCCCCCGCGCCAGTCACTTGTCTGTTCTGGACCTCTTTCCTCGTGAAAAGGTAGACTGGCATCTACCTGACAGGGCTGGACCAGGCCCCTTCCTAGCCCCTGGGTTTGTGGTGGTGGGTGGGATGGGCGAGACCCTGTTCTTTTGGGCTCACAGTCCATTGTGGCGATCATGTGTGTGCATGGCCTAGAGGGGCCTCCCCGACTCTCCCCTTTTCCTGTATTTCATCTTCTGGGAACAAGGCTGCATGTGATTCCTTTGGTTGGAGGAGTTGGTTTGGTTCTTGTCCCTCAGCACTGCAAGACATGCAAGCTTCCTGAGCCACCGCAGAGCGCGGCACCTACTTCAGGGTGCTGCGGGCCCTCTTGCTGCCCCCTCTTTCCCCCTCAGATAAGACCTTTAGGGGTGGGAGGGCGGGTCCACCAGGCCCTGCTGCTCCTCACTGACGCCCATCCCCAATTAGATTCAGGCACTCCCGTCCCGCCCCGTCTGAGCCTCTGCAGCGTAGATCTCAGGCGACTAAAATTCATCATGTCCCACACTGGACCCGTCCCCAAGCCACCTTCCCTTCCATATCCAAAAAACACGTAAAGCTGCCGCGTTCCTTGTTTCAGTTGATGTTCCCGTGGAAGCAGCGCTTGAGTGCATCGCCCTCTCCATCCCTGCTCTCACCGCTCCGGGCGGTCCGGGCGGTCCTGGCCCCCTGGCCGCGGCCTCCTCCAGCACTTAGGACAGCCTTTCCTCCGGATGCACACGTCCCATCCTCGCCTTAGGGCAGCTCTCTGCCGACCGAGCAAAGCTGTCGTCTTGGTAGACGTGTCATTTTTGCCCTTTCTTCCCTTTTACAGGGGAGTTGGGGGCTACAGAAGTGAGGGTTGTCAACCCAGTGGAGTGTTCTCTTGGGGCTGGAGGTTTGAATGTATTTGTTACTTGGCTTCCTGGGAGCTCATTTTATCCATAAACCCCTGTGCTCACCCCAGACTGACTCAGTGGGAGAGGAACAAGCTGAGGTCAGGAAATAGACCTTCCAGGGACTTAGGGTTCACGTGGGAGTCCCGCCTGTCAAATTCAGATGGGAGGCTGGGCAGGAGGCCTGATCTCTGCAGACAGGACATCCCTGCAGCCACTGGGCCTCCCTGAGAAAGGAAGCTCCTGACAGGCGGCCCCCTCCCACTGTGCTTTCCCGCAGCATATCGACAAAGTCTTCAAACACAAGGACCTGCAGCAGCAGCTGGTGGATGCCAAGCTCCAGCAGGCCCAGGAGATGCTGAAAGAGGCAGAGGAGAGGCACCAGCGGGAGAAGGATTTTGTGAGGCTCAAGCCCCGGGGGTAGAGGGTCTGGGAGGAGGTAGGTGGGGTTCTGGCTCAGCTCATAGCCAAGTTTGCCTGGGAGAAGTTGCTGCCTGGCCCGACCAGGACAGTGCTTCCTCAGACAGCAGTGTGAGAGCAGGAAGCCTCAGTGAGTTCTGGTGCAAAAAAAAAGCCACACAGCCCCTAGGGGCTTCTGACGGGGTTTGGCGTCCTGTCTTGGAAATAGCTCCTCAAAGAGGCAGTGGAGTCCCAGAGGATGTGCGAGCTGATGAAGCAGCAGGAGACCCACCTGAAACAGCAGGTGAGACGTGTATCCTGACCCTGTGCCTCCAAGGTCCCCTCTCTGGGCCCCATCCTGGGGGGAGGAAATGGCACCCTCATTCTAGGACCACCTTGACTGCTGTGTGACTTTGCTGAGCCTTTGTTCTCTCTGGACCCTCCCAGCACCTGTGTGGTGGTGACCAGGTGGCTAGGTGAGCTCGAAGGACTTCATTCCTAGACGGAAGTGTTGGGCTGCTTTTGAGGAGGTGGGGACAGAACAGTTGTCGTTAGCTACATAAATTATACTTAATTCTGGAAGAAAAGTTTGAAAACAAACATAAAGGCAAAATATAAGTCATCCCAAATGCTACTCTCCATGCTTAACATTTTGGGTTATATCCTTCCAATACGTAGTTTTTGTTTCGTTTTTTCTTTTTAAATGGTATCTCAATAGAATTTTTGAGTCAAAGCTGTGTCTGAGTGTGTTGACCAGAAGTGCCCTCCAGAGAAACCCAGTCTTATCTGTTCTCTTCTTTCTTCCTCAGCTTGCCCTCTACACAGAGAAGTTTGAGGAGTTCCAGAACACTCTTTCCAAAAGCAGTGAGGTGTTCACTACATTCAAGCAGGAGATGGAAAAGGTAACTGATCCAGGCTGGGTGAGGCTGCTGGGGCACAAGCTGCTTCATTCAGACTTCGACACTGGGCCTGCATTCAGGAAGCCCCCATCCCTGGGGTGCCTCCTGGGGAGCCATTTACAGTAACACTTTGGTTGGTACCAAGGGTGGGGCTGTAGGAGGGATCACAGCCTTCCCCCTTCTCAAGGAACTGTCAGTGGATTGTACACCCTCACACTTGTCCTAGAGAAGGGGCAGTCTTGTCATTTCCTGTTATTGGGGGTGAGCATTTAACTTGAGACGTCCTGAGGTCGTACAGAAGGCCCTGACTGTGCCCTGTAATACCTTGCTCCCTTGGGACCTTTCCCCACCTTGGAGACACAGATGCACAGAGAGCCTGGCCCCCTGACCACTTCATTCTGTCTGTCGCATAACCCAGATGACTAAGAAGATCAAGAAGCTGGAAAAAGAAACCACCATGTACCGGTCCCGGTGGGAGAGCAGCAACAAGGCCCTGCTTGAGATGGCTGAGGAGGTGGGCTGAGTGTGGTCTGCGGCCAGGATCGGGGGAGGGGTGCGGGTATGAGTATTGAGCCCTTTCCTAGATGTTCTCCCAGTAAGTGATGCGGCGAGCATGAAGGGGAGCTGGCATTCACGTGCACGTCTGTCTGAGTCCAAAGGCACTGCCAGCTGTCTCCCCACGGGAGGTGGGGAGCCCAGTGATAGGTCTGCAGTGGAAGCAAGGAGAGGAAATGAAAGAAAGGCATAAAGGAGCAGGAGAACCAAGGGCTGCCAGTAATACACGTAGTTTGTATGCAGAGCAGCCCCGATAATGTAACTTCATGGCCTGAGATATAGGAGAAAAAAGTCAGTCTGCTGGAGCAGCTGCATGCCAGACCCTGCTGAATGTTTTAGATAAACCAATTCATTGAACCTCCTTTTGAGATCTGTGAGGTTGATAGTAGTCCAGTATAACAGATGAGGTAGGCTTAAAAGCCAAGTACGTCTCCAAGGTCATCTGGTAGATACGTGGAGGAATACGTTTTATCCAAGCCGTGCTCCTTCTCTGCACCACACTGCCCCCGAGTAACAGCCAGGTCTTGGTGTAAACTGGGCTGTTTACTAGAAAGGGGCCAGCCTTTGACTCTAGTCTGCTCCCAGTATTGTTCCAGTGTGAATCTTTTCTACCAGTTGGCCTTGTTGGCTGGGGGCTTGACAGCATGGCACTGAAGGTCCCATTTCTTTCTCTAGAAAACACTCCGGGACAAAGAGCTGGAGGGCCTGCAGGTGAAAATCCAGCGGCTGGAGAAGCTGTGCCGGGCGCTGCAGACAGAGCGCAATGACCTGAACAAGAGGGTACAGGACCTGAGTGCTGGTGGCCCAGGCCCCCTCACTGATGGCGACCCTGAGCGAAGGCCAGAGGCTGCCACTGCCTCCAAGGAGCAGCGTGGCGAGGGGCCTGGGGCCCAAGCACCCAGCTCCCCAAGGGCCACAGAAGCTCCTTGCTGCCCTGGAGCACCAAGCACAGAAGTATCAGGCCACACAGGGCCCCAGGAGCCCACCTCTGCCACTGCCTAGGGAGCCTGGCGCTGGGGGCATGCTGGGAAGGGAGCAAGCAGCCCAGCCAGGCCTGACCCATGCAAGCCTCCCACCGCCAAGCAGTCCAGTGCTTAGGCCCAGGTGCTCTGACCTGGCTGGCATCTGACACTTCGCAGTTTTGGATTTTGTGGGTCAGTTTTACATACATATGGCATATGTGCAAAGGCTCATACATTTATATCTCTGAGTGTAAAATGGGCTTGCACTGGAGGTGGAGGTGTGTATGGATGAAGTCTGTGGCTCTTCTGTGAGCTGAAGAGTTTTAAAGAGGAGCTGTCATCTGTAGCTGCTGTCGCAGTGAGCTGGCAGGACAAGTGACTTGAGCATTTCCCTGCCTGATTTGAGGCTCAGACCCCTCCCGCCCTGCCTTTCAGGACTCATGACAAGTGACACCCCCAGGCCTCAACTGTGTTTCTCTTGTTTGGGGGACTGGGGCAGCGCTGTCTCTCCTCGCTCCCCTGGAAGCTCCTTTGCTGCTTTCGGCCTGGCGAAGGGGTCCCCAGGTGAAGCATCAGCGGGGCGCTCGGAGCTGGTGGTTGAGCTGCTGTCCTGCCTAGGACAAGGGCCATGGAGAATGTTTCCATGTGGGATGGTGTGCTGGTAGGGAGCCCCTCGGGCACCGCTTCCCCTGCCCTCTGGTGATGCCAGGACCAGGCCAGTGACGCTTCTCAGTAGCCTTATCATTCACAGGTGCCTCTCTAGCCTGCACAAATGATTGACAAGAGATCACCCAAAGGATTCTTTCTGAAGGTTGTTTTTTTTTGCACATGACAGTGTTTGTGTTGAGGGTCTTCTGAGGAAGGATTGGGGTGCTGTAGCAGTGGTGCCTGTTTCCTCTGCCCCACTACCCCACCTGGCACCTTTGCCATGTTGGTGCTGAGGTTTCCTGTTTGATAAAATCAGATTGTTTGTAGTAAGAGAAAGGAACAGGCTTCTGATGGCTTTGCCACAAGCTTGCCTATGGATTCCAACCCTGGGAGGCCACCGCTGATTCCCCTCACCACTGTCTCCATGTGGCAGTTCCTGGGCCCCACACCCAACTGCCCCCTTGGCGTTATGAGTCTGTTTCTGCTTCCGGCCCCCACCCTTCCCACCCCCAATGTGCAATGCTTGAGATTTGCCTGGATCCGTTGACCCGGAACCGCGGTATGTCCTCCGTGACATCCCCCTTCTTCCTGTGTGGGAGCCCCCACCTCTCCCCTGACAGCTAAGGGATAAGAATGAGATTCAACAATTGACTGAGCCCCAGAAATCCACAAGGTGGCTGCAGATATTTGTGTCTCTTCGCCAACAACCTACTCCCACCCCACCTCTGCCCTCCCCTTATACGTGCTACTCTCTACTCGGGAAGTTCTAGTTGCAAACTTGCCAGGGGATTAGCTAGTCTTCTTAGAGAGCAACTTTTGAGTCTTGGGTCAGGAAGTAGGGCTCTGTTGAGCTTGGGGTACTGTGCCCCATCTGCAGCCGGGCCTCAGCTTCATTGCCACTGAGGGGGCCACAGCCCAAGATGATGATGGTTGAGTTTTTGCTTCTTGCTGTATTTCCTTGAAGTTGGTTCATTCTCCTACAGTCCTTTCATCTTCCACAACTGGCCTGCTCTTTCAGCCCGTAACCTAGTCCCTCAGGTAAATAGGTTCATGAAGAGTGTTAAGTACTCCTGAATCATGTTATGACTTAGACCACAGATGGCAAATGGCACACCGTCAGCTCTCTGCCCTCACCGTAGTGCACTAACCTGCTTCAGAGCGTTTCCTGCTAATCCTGGTATGTCCTTGTTTCTCAAGATGCCCCCAGCAGCTGGTGGAAGTGTTGAGGCCCGTTTGCCATCCCTGGCTGAGATACTGCTCTCCCGTGGAGAAGTGTTTCCTAAGGTCTTGTCTTCCCTCCTGAAATGCCTGTGTCTGGAATAGGCCCTGACCGTGCCTCTTCAGGCTCCAGCAAGGCCTTCTCCCTCCCCCAGCCCCGGTGCCCAGCTGAGGTACAGAAGAGCTGCCAACCCTAAACGGGGTTTGCTGGGCTATGGAAACACAGGGAAGAGGCAGAAGCTTCTGTCTGCCCCCTTTAAAGAGAGTGGGAAGGCCTGCAGTGGCCCCAGTTGCCTGCCTCGCTTCAGCTACCTCTTAAAGCCCATGGAGTGGGGGTGGGGAGCTACTGGAGCCCAGTGTGGTGGTGAAGTCACAGCTGCACAGCCCAGCAGCCCTCTGAGGCCGAGTCTAGCTACTGTGTTGCTACACTGAGCAAGGTGGCCCCAGCTGGGCTTCCCAGGTCAGAAATACTGGCCCTAGGCTCCAGCCATCTCTAGGCATCCGGGCTGGGCTGTAGATGGGGATCCTATTCTTCCTCTTCCTCTCCATTGACCAAATCTTACCAGTCACTACAGCTGGTCTGCTTGTTCTGCTTTCCAAAGTCAGCCCAGGTACCTGGGTGCTGCCCACACCAGCCAGGAGCCTGGGCCAGGTGCAGAGGAGGCGGCCTGTCTGAATGAAGGCCAGTGCCTTCCTTACTGGGGTGGGTCCCATGCACATGACCTCAGTTTTAGGACCAAGAGCTGTGTTGGTTTCTTAGATTGCTAGCTTTCCTCCAGCGGACCACAACAGGTGAGGCTCACAGCCCAGAGCCCTTGGCTCTGCTGACAGTAATCTGTGTTCAGGACCTTGTCCAGCTCAGAGCCTTGTGTACACCAGATTCTGAGAGGTGTCAGCAGCACTTTCTGTTTTGGTTTGTTTTCCATGAGGTTTTTGGACCATGGGCTGAGCTCAGGCACTTTTTCTAAGAGAATGTTTTGTCTGCAAAGATGGTTATTTACCCTCCTCCACTGACATCTTGGTGGCTCTGCTGAGAGCTGACCAAGAGGCCAGTGGAGCCGCCCTGGTGTCTAGGGGGGAGGGCCATGGCCTGCTGAGCTGATCCTCCAACTGCTGCTCCAGCCGTCTCACCTTGCACAGAACACAGGTGGTCACCCCAGGGACAGCCAGGCACCTGCCTGGGGGAGGGGTGCTGCCTTCTTTTCCTGTAACTGCTTCCCTGATGGCCCCACCTGGTCACCCAGATCTGTTTGAAGCTGTGCTGACAGCTTTTTTGTCTCCTTTTGGTAATCACAACAGCCAGGGACTTGATTCTGATGTATTTTAAACCACATTAAAGAGTCTATTGCCTTACTTGTTTCTCTCCTGACCTTCGTGGTCATCTGGTGCTTCTGGCGTCACTGGTTTGGCCGGATATGCTGCAAAGCTCTGTGGCCGTGGTGCACTGGTATCCTGCATCTTGCAGAGTGCCCTCCTGGTTTACAGCAGTCCCACAGGCTCAGGACGTTAGCAGAGTCACTTCAGCCTCCTGAGTGGGCCCCTTGGCAAAGTTGTCATGATGCTCATATACGTAGGAGCATCAGAGATGATTTCTCTCAACAAAAGTTGCCCCTGCTCCTGAGGGCTCACGGGCTAGAGAGGGAGAAAGGTGTTTTTAGATAAAGGTCGCCAGTGCTGTGGGAGCATAGAGGAGGCCCTGTCCCCTTCAAGAGGATAGGGGTGGACATCTGGAAGGGCCTTATGACCCAAAGGGCAGGCAGAAGTTTAACAACTTCATTTAGTAACAAAGTGGTTCACCTGGCAATGCAGGTGCACAGGAGGGTGGTGGGAGGCAGTGAAGCTGGGCCCCAATCACCAAGAGCCTGTGTGCCAGGTTCAGGAATTTGGGCAAGATCAGGGAAGAGGGGGCACCACTGAAGGTGTTTAAATAGGAAATTGCTACGGTCCACGAAGAAGGCAAAAGGCAAGGAGAGCAGAGAGCCAGGCATAGGCCAACTGAGACCCAGGTTAAGATAAGTGGACCCTGGGGCCAGCCCCGTGGCCAAGTGGTTAAGTTCGCACACTCCACCGCAGGTGGCCCAGTGTTTCGTTGGCTCGAATCCTGGGCGCGGACATGGCACTGCTCATCAAACCACACTGAGGCAGCATCCCACATGCCACAACTAGAAGGACCCACAACGAAGAATATACAACTATGGACCGGGGGGCTTTGGGGAGAAAAAGGAAAAAAATACAATCTTTAAAAAAAAAAAAAAAGATAAGTGGACCCTGGGGCCAGCCCCGTGGCCGAGTGGTTAAGTTCGAGGGTTTCACTGGTTCGGATCCTGGGTGTGGACATGGCAATGCTCGTCAGGCCATGCTGAGGCAGCGTCTCACATAGCACAGCCAGAGGCACTCACAACTAGAATATATAACTATGTACTGGGGGGCTTTGGAGAGAAGAAAAAAAAGTTAGCAACAATTGTTAGCTTAGGTGCCAATCTTTGAAAAAGAAAAAAAGATGAGTGGACCCTCATCACTGCTATCGGGCTGGTTGCCATGAGCAGCATCCTTTGGCACCAGCCCACCCAGGAGAACACTCCTGGGTGCACTCCTTGACAAGACCACATTCTGCATGCAGTTTTTAAGAATGGGCTGGTTTCTTACACTCTCCTGCTTACCCACCCCAAGCCTAGGTGCAAAAGTTGAGGCTGCTCTATGGGAGACACCCTACTGGTGGCCTCACCTAGCACCGTGTTCTCTCTAGGGCCTGGGTTGGTCTGGCACAAAGGATGTTATGTGAATGCCCAACAAATAGTAGAAACAACTAAAGTGCCCTTCCCTCCAGACCTCCAGATGTGTCCACACTGGCTGTGCCAGTTCCCGCCGAGCCTCTGCCCCTTCTAGTCAGGGTCCTAATGGGTATTTTTCTGTGCTGGCCACAATGGTTCCAGTCAAAGATCCTTTGGATGGAGTCAGAGGAGGCTGCCCAACTCTTGGAGCTCCCAAGCAAAGCAGCTCTGATAATAACCACCCTAAATGTGCACCTGGACCGCTGCCACCTTCCTAGAGGAGCCCTGGTGCCACTCTCTAGCAGCTCTGGTAGGGGAAGACAGGGAATTCCCAGTTGTCCTGCCTGTGCAGACCCCTCCCTTGACCCCTGGTTATTGAAAAAGTCCTGAATTAACGTCTCCTCTTCTGGAGCAGTCTGCGTGTTGGAAACACCTGGGAAAAAGCCCTGCGCGGGTGCCCACAAAGACAGTGCCTGTCCCTCCCTAACTCAGCCAGAGGCCCAGGCCCAGGGAAGATGCTCCTGCCCAGTGGGAGCAGAAGGTGGGTGAGGTGGCTCTGCACAGTCCCCAGGGCAGTTATTTGAGGCTGCAAAGCAGCCTGGCCAAGGATAAGCCTGTCTCCATTTGCATCAGATGCGTCTCTGGGGACCTGAGCGGGAGCCTCTGCCAGGTCTTTAAATAGCTGCTCCATTGATCTGGCCTCCCGGGCAGCACCAGCAGCCCTGGATCAGCCTCCATCAGGTGCTCAGGTTTCCCTCCTGGAGGCTGGAGTCAAGCGTGCCCCGGCTTCCTCCTGACCTAATGCTCCTCACACGTGTCTCCTAGGCCTGGGGGTGGACAAAGGGCAGACTTGGTCCTGTCATTTCTTCAGTGCAGAACAGGCCTTCACCGCTTACCAGTGTGGAGTGTCTGGGTGTTGCAGGGGGAGTGGTATTGCCCTCAAAAGCCTGTTGTTGACTTTCAGTAAAACGGGACGATGACAGTATCTTCCTCAGAGTTGTCATGAGGATTAAATGTACGTAAAGTGCTGAATAGAGGAGCTGGACTCAATAGGTGGTTGTCTTCTCTTACAGTTTCTTCCTGTTGCTGCTGCTTGTACTTCTTATATGCTTATATATATTCAGATTCCCTTTCTCTCTCTCTCCTTTCCCCTCCCACTACCCCCACTCTGACAAAGCCACCACCATTTTGTAAGGGACTGTAGCTTCTCTTGAACGTGGGAGAAGCAAAATGGATGGATAGGAAAGCAAAAGGGTTTTTTAGATTGCCCATCACGCAACCAAGGTGGTCACCTTAGTTCAGGTGGGGAGGTAAAGTCAGTGAGAGGAACAGCTTAATTAACGTAGGGATGCTCCTCCCGTCTTACTCCATCCCAAGCGCTAAAGAAGGTCACTTTCTCTTTAAATGCAAATTGCCTCCTGCCAGCTCAGCCTCCATCCGTTCTGTTCCCTAGGAGAGTGCTGAGGGCGGAGGGAACCCTCACAGAAGCATCTCTCCAGACCCCAAACCTCCAGGTCAGTTGCCCTCTTTGGGGATGGGGGTGGGGGCAGGACGACATGGGTTCAATGCTCCATTTCGGATCCTGCTCCAGAGCTGAGCCATCCATCGGGCACACAGCTTTGGAGCTTGAGCATGGGAAATAGATCCCGGTCGTCCCAGGCAGTCCTGGGGAGCAGGAGCTCCTGCTCCAATTCTTCTGTCAAGTCCCTAATTGGGCCAAGCCGCTGCAGGGCGAGGCAGATGCACCACACCCCCTCGGTGCCAGCCAGCCATGTGCCAGTTTAAATGCTTGTGCCCCCAGTGCCACCACCATCCCAAAGGGCAGAGTCAGGCTTGGGGGCAGCAGCCTGGAGTGAGCAGCTTGGGGAAAACCCCTGTAAAGGGCCCCCAGACCTCCATCAGGGAGGACCTCGGCAGACCTGAGGCTTAGGGGGCGGGGCTGGATGGGAGGCTGAGCAGTGCCAGCCACAGGCGCAGCCATTGTTGGAGGCCAAGGCAGCCAGCCGCCCGACCACCCACTCCACCCTGGCTGAGCCGAAGCCAGGCAGGGACTTTCTGACTGGGGAGGGTGATGGGGCTAGAAGCATGTCCCAGGGAACTTCTGGGAGTCGCCTGGTGTTTGCATTGGGGGTGGGGTGGAAGAGGAGGGATGCCAGTGTCTGAGTGGGGACAACCCACACTGAGCCCCGCCCCGCTGCCTGTCACGGCCTCTGCTGCTGTTACCCATCCTCTGGTGATTACTGCTTGACACTGGCGTCTTCCCAGACTCCCCACTCACACCTTGGTCACCTCCCATGCTGACAGAGTTTGTCAGCATCTGCCTGGGTAGTTGATAAATAGAACGGGACCTAGTTAAGACACCCCTAATCCTTAGCTGGGCTCCTGCCAGCCCACATCCACCCTGTCTCCCCCTGCATTTCCTCTGCCAGCTCCGCCCCCTCAGCCACAGGGACAGGAAACCCCAGCAGCAGCAGGAAAAGTGTCTGGTCCAGCCCTTTCCAGGCAGGGCCTGGGTTTTCAGGCCAAGGCCAGAAGGCGGGAGGGGATGTACGGTGGGCTGTGGAAGCTCCCTGACCCCAGTAGTAGGCGCTGGCATCTGGCCCTGCCCATAGTGTACAGATGAGGGGACAGAGGCCCTGACGGTTGTGAGGGGACAGCTGGGAGGTGCCAGGGCCCTTCTTTCGCAGATCTCAGGGGGTGCTGGGTGAAGGGATGACTTGGCCCCTCACTATCTCAATAGGGTCGCCTCCCTCCCAGGGCCTGAGGTTCAGCCAGCACCCAATGGAGGACAAGAAGAAGAAAAGGAGTCCCAAGCCCTGCCTGACCCAGCCAGCCCAGGCCCCAGGCACACTACGCAGGGTCCCTGTGCCCACCAGCCACAGTGGCTCCCTGGCCCTGGGACTCCCTCATCTGCCATCCCCAAAGCAGCGGGCCAAGTTCAAGAGGTGGGTACAGAAGGAAAGCAGGGCAAGGAGGAAGGGACCCCAACTCTGGGCTGAGCCCTGTGGGGAGGAAGGCAAAGGGGGCTTTTAGCCTTGAGTTACCTAGCAATAACTGATGCCTTCCCTGGGACTGCCCCAGCTGGCCCCTGAGAATTCAGAGACCCTCAGATCCCATCCTTCCCTACCCTCAAGTGTGGGGGAAAGGTCAGGTGGGTCGCTGGGATCACACTGTGTGATGATGAACCTCAGAGCAGGGAGAGAGCAACGCTGCCAGGGAGTGAGTCAGAGAAGGCTGTTGGCACCCTGGAGAGAAGAATGTTCTGAGCTGAGGGGCCTGCCTGGCATAAATATGGAAGAAAAATACTGCCTGGAAGATTCTGAGAACCACCAGTGATTTGGTGGCCCTGGAGTGTCATGGGGCAGGAAGGGGTGAGGGGATACTCAGGCATACAATCTGAACTCTCTGCTTAATTATTTTAATGATTGCGAATTTGCATCCTACCCTATAATGCGTTCGTGTGGTTCCCACTAAATACGTGCTCTTTCTCTGATTACTGTGTTTCCCTGTGGCTTTGCACACGCCTGCCTGAGAGGCATGTGTGGGTCAGCCACAGCAGGGTGTAGCTGAAGCTCAGGGCTGGGGCAGGAATAGGAAATGCAACTGGAGAGGCAAGGGGGCCAGGTGGGAAGGGCATTCAGTGTTGCCGAGGGAAATGGAAAATTCAAAACCATTTTTAAATAGAAAAGGGGCAGAAAGATATTTTGGAGAGGGGTAAGATGGCTCTTGTGGCAATAAGGGAGTAACTGTCCCCAAATTCACTGAGGACCAGGGAGGACAAATGATTCACCCAGGGTCACAGAAAGAATGAGGGGCTCAGACAGGAACCCAGGAGTCCCCTTCCAGGCATGGCTCTGGCTGTGAGTGTCATTGGCAGAAAAAGACTTCTTTCGACATTTTATTTTCACCTACTTCCTTTCCTTTACCAATCTTGGTAAAAATCCTGGCCCCAAGGTAGGGCCAGAAAAACAAACATCCGTTTATGTTGGTGAGTGGATAGGAAGATGAATTAGTGCATAAACAGATGGCACAAAAGACCTGGGGGCAACTGGCTGCCCCAACCTGTGACCATGGCCATGCCCACCCCACCCAGGGTAGGCAAGGAGAAATGCCGCCCAGTGCTGGCCGGAGGTGGGGGCGGCTCTGCAGGCACCCCCCTGCAGCACTCCTTCCTGACCGAGGTGACCGATGTCTATGAGATGGAGGGGGGACTGCTGAACCTGCTCAATGATTTCCACTCAGGCCGGCTGCAGGCCTTCGGTGAGTCCTGGGGGCTAGGCTTAGTGGGGGTGTGTGGTAGGGGGCTGGAGGGCCTGGTCTCTGGGGTGTGGGTGGGGCCAGGGTCCCAAGCTCTCCCGCAGGGCTCAGACATGTGCTGTCCAGGGAAGGAATGCTCCTTCGAGCAGTTGGAGCACGTGCGGGAGATGCAGGAGAAGCTGGCCCGGCTGCACTTCAGCCTGGACGTGTGTGGGGAGGAGGAGGAGGAGGAGGAGGAAGAGGATGGGGTCACTGAGGGGCTGCCTGAGGAGCAGAAGAAGACGATGGCTGACCGCAACCTGGACCAGCTGCTTAGCAATGTGGGTCAGGGCTGGATGCTTGGGTTCCTGGGGACCCTCGGGGGTTGGGGGGGGACATGCTTCTAAGGTCATTCCTGGCCCTGGGTGAAAAGCTGAGGTGCATGGAACCAAGAGCTCTGGGCCACTCAACAGCCCCCCCAACCCTGAAGATGGCCACCAGAGCATCTAGGGTATGGCCTGGTGCCCCTCATGACAGAACCCTCCCTTTCTCTCTCTGTTGACAGCTGGAAGATCTTAGTAATTCCATGTATCCTTTTCAGGAGACCTGACAGTGTGTATGTGTGTGCACAGCTCCCAGAGATGAAAACAGTTTCCTCCTCCCCACCACCCTTCAGGAGTATTCACTTATAACCAACATCCCCAACCCTTCCAGTCCTACTGTGTCACAATTAGCCACAAACTGCCCCCGCCCAGGTAGAGGAGTGCAGAAAGAATTTCCCAATATTAGGAGAAAGGTGGTTGCAGGGAATATGTTTCACCTACTTATCAAAGTATTTGCAAGTACTTTAGCTAACACCAATCCATGGCAAAGCTTGTCGGCTGTCTTCCTACTCTTTCAGCATTGAATTACTTTTACTGATTTACACTACCTCCCGAGCTAGTCCTAGTCAGAAATAGGGCGGGTGCACGCACCTGCATGATCTAGATCAAAAGAGAGGGGTAAGCCGCCTAGCAAGACGGGCAGGCGAGGACTGCAACCTCAGAGCACGGACTGCCCCAGAGACCCTCACCCCGCCGCTTTGTGCAGTTGGGGAAACAGCCTGTGCAGGACGGGAAGACAGGGCTGGAAACATGGGGGCAGTGGCACGACAATCCTTGACTGGCGCAGACAGAAGTTGCACCTGGCCGAGAACGCCGAGCCTGAGGAGCAGTCAGCTGCGTAGATGTCGGACCCAGGCCCAGATTGCCCCCTTTCATTCCCTTCAAACTGTGACTTTTTGCAGACTCGACTGGTTATCCCGCGGCCCCCCAGGTGCTATGGGGAGGGGGGCACTGGATGGAATTAAACAGCAAGCAAGCAAGCGGCCCCATGTCTTCCTTGCCCTCGTCGCTTCTCTCCCCAGCAGGGGCGCCGAGCCCCGGCCTCCGCGGAGACGCGCGCGCCGCACACCCGGATCCGGGGAGCGCGCCCGGCCGGCGAGGGCCCCACGCGGGTGCTCGGCGAGCGTAGTCGGCGGCGGCGGGCCCCAGGCCGCGTCCCGCCGGGGTCAGAGAGGAAGGTTGCCCCGGGGACGGGGGCGCGGCCTGCGCTGGCCAGGGCGGTACCCACTAGTGACGCACTGCGCAGGCGCCGGGCAGTTGGCGCCCGGATGGAGCGGGAGCGGTTGGTTCGGAAGGTGTCGGTGATGCAGGTGCGAGCCGGGCCGGGGTGCGCAGGGATCCCCGCCGTGGGATCTGGGACTGGGACCTCTGAGCGAGATAAGGCTGTCACGTTTAATCGCGTGCCCGTCTGTGGAGATACCTACCCACTCCCACCGCCCTGAAGAATACCAGGGCCCACGGACTTCCCCACGCGCCCCCCACGCGCTCCTGCGGGATCAGGGAAGGACCGGAAGGGCCTTATAGCGAAGAGGGGGATGCCGTCCAGCATGCTCCCTTGAACCCCCGGAGTCCCAACGCACAGCGTCACCTATCCTTTCCCTGGGGCCAGGTCCCCTCTTGCAATCACCGGGGTGACCTCTTCATGAGAATCCCCTAAGATGCCCCCGCTTTTGCAGTGAGAAGGGTTTGCTTTCCGCTCGTTCTCCACAACAGGCCTGCGTCCGGGGCTTCTTGGTCCGACGCCAGTTCCAGAGTTTGCGAGCTGAGTATGAGGCTATTGTACGAGAGATCGAGGGTGATCTGGGCACGCTTCAGTGGACTGAGGGCTGGATTCCCAGGCCCCGATTTCTCCCAGAGGTAATACACACACCAGGGGGAGAATGGAGGAGAGGGAGGGACCTGGGCAGGGGATTCTGACAAGCTTTGCTCAATGGAAGCAGCAGCAGACTCACCTCCTCACACCCCAATCCTTAATCACCAATTTGTCTGCTAAATCAGGGCGTCCAGTCACTTGGAGGGTTTAGCCCTGGGGCTCTCATACCTCTCTGACTGATTTCTCAGAAAGCAAAATCCCATCGGATCTGGAAAGCTGGAAAGAGGGTACCAAATCCAGAGCCGGAACAGTGGAGTTGCTCCCCACGTAAAGAGCCAGAGAGAGAGGCCATCTGGGAGGGGATGATGCTGAAGAAGTCAGAAGAGAGCCCGGCAAACTCAGGAAGTCTTCCCTGCAGAGATGACAGCTCCTGGCTCCAGGATGAGCAGAGCAGGAAACCCAGCCAAAAGGAGACCAGAGATATGTCAAGGATGGAGAACCCAGGTATCTCTCTGCGTAGGTCAGGGAAGCCCCTGACTCTCTCTGGACCTCAGCTTTCCCATCTAAAAAGTGAAAGGCTTGTGCTAGATAAGCTGCATGCCTTTCCTTCTTCCTTCTGCCTGGTTGGGGGCAACACATGGGTGGGCAGGGGCAGGGTGCCAGGGTCTAATGCCAGGCCAGTGCCCTTTCCTCCCTCCTTCACAGAAGCTGCAGGTCCAGGACTGCCCCATAGCCAGACTGAGCTCCAGGAGCTCCAGTACCACCGCAGCCACTTGGCCATGGAACTGCTGTGGCTGCAACAGGCAATCAACAGCCGTAAGGAGGTAGGCACTAACTTGGAACATTTTATGCACTTTTAGGGCCAAGGGTGGGGGTTAGGGACAGGCTTCCTGCCATGCCCGAGCAGGCCTGCCTGGTACAGTGTCTGTTCTCTTCCCCACCAGTACCTAATTCTCAAACAAACACTGAGATCCCCAGAGGCAGGCCAGACCAGAGACGATGCCAGCATGTGCCCAGACCACAGGTCACAACCAAGCCCACCACTGGAAGACCACTCCTACAGAGACAGGGCCGCCGGAGAGCCAGACCATGTGGATGACTCCTGGAGGAAGGTCAGATCACAACCCCACAAATCCCCAGAAAGACTGGCTGCTACAGACAAAACCACTACTGGGGCCAAGTACAGGGACCCATGCTACGGGAAGGCTGGACCACAGCTGCCCACACCATCAGATAACCAGGCCAGAGACAACAGGCTCGGCAAAGAGCCAGAATGTGGGAAACACACCTTTGGAGGGGCCTGCGTGCAGCTGACGAAACTCCTGGAGGACCAGACCCCCAAAGGCCTCAAACCTAGGGGCCACTGCTCTGGAAAGACCAAGATACAGCCACCCACACTCCATGAGGACCCAAGCATTGAGGACAAGTCTCCCAGAAGGCCAGACCACAAAGAGCTCGATTACCAAAGAGCTAGGCCACAAAAGTTGGATCTCTCAGAGGACCATGTCATCTGGGATAGGGCCTTGACAGGGCCAGAGCATGGTGGCCTGGATCTCTGGAGGACTAAACCACCCAAGGGCCAGACACCCAGTGACAAAAGCTGCAGAGATAGAACCTCCAATGAGCCTAGCCATGAAGAATGGAAAAACCAGAGGACTGTGCCATGGAGACCAAAGCCACCTGAGAAACTGTATTCCACAGGGTCAGACCAAACAGGAGAGGACCACTGGAGGGGCAGACCGTGGAAAACAGGACCAGCAGGCTAGACCCTGGGGAGCCAGGGGTGGACCAGGTTCCAAAGGGGGATGCTATGAAAGGGTGATGAGGGACACAGGACCTCATCGTAGCTCCCTGGTACCAGCTTTAGCTCCTGTCCCTGTCCCTGGCCACTGGTAGCTAATGAGGCCAAGACAAGCTGGAGCAAAGAGCTGGCACCAGTATAGGCAGCAGAGGGAGAAGGACGCTCTTTCATCCTCTGCCTGTGGATCAATCCAAATTTGGGGACAGGGAGTTACCTGGGGTAAGTAAAGTGGGGGGCCTGATGGAGAATAAAGGTTTTTCTTGGATTCGGAGCCTGGTTGCTTTCATCCTCTGCCTCTGGTCAGGACAGACTCTGGGCCTTCATGTTCGCCTCCTATTGGCCTGGGCATTTTCCCCAGAGCTGGCTGGGAGCCACGGCCCAGGAGTATACTAGCCATCCTTGGGGATCACCCCCAAAGTTGGTCCTCCTTTGAGCTCAGCCCTTGGACTGCAGAGTGACAGGGAGGCTCTGAGAATCCCTCCCTCCACCAGCACTGGAACATCCGTGTTTCGGTGTGATCTCTGTCACTCCCCCTCCCTGAGCCCCAGGGTCTTCCTTCATATATAGTGATCACAACCGCCGTGCTCTTGTGAGGCCCCACCAGGAGCAGATTGGATGAGACCCTGAGACAGACAGATGCTCCTGCCAGAGGCTCTCCCTGCCTTCCTGGGTGAGAGAGCAGGACTCCACCTCTGACTGGCACTGCTCCCAGCCCTGCCTTAGTTGCCTGGCAACAGCTCTGCGTCTCTAGCTGAGGACATAGTATGGCGAGTGGGAGTTCAGCGGCCAAGAGAGTAGTAGTGTACCGGAATGGGGACTCTTTCTCCCCAGGCCGCCGGCTGGTGGTGACCCAACGCCGCTTCCCCACCCTGGATGCCTTCCTCTGTGAGGTGACATCAGTTGTGCAGGCCCCACTGGCTGTGCGTGCCCTCTATACACCCTGTCATGGCCACCCCGTCACCGACCTGGCAGACCTGCAGAACGGAGGGCAGTATGTGGCTGCTGGCTTCGAACGATTCCGCAAGCTCCAGTGAGTGGGCTGGGGCTGGTCACAACTGAGGGAGGGAGGGGAGAGCAATAGCAATGGCACATGTTTAAACTTACTCTGTTCATATGAGCACTTTATACATTACCTCATGGGATACAGCAACCGTATGGAAGGGGTGGTTTCACCCTCATTCTTTAGAAGGGAAAATCAAGACATTAAGTAACCATGTAACAGTACCCAAGTAACAAAGATAGAGCCACTATTGAAGTCTGATGCTGGTGTTGATGTCCATCATAGCCAGGACCAGGCTGTGGGAAGGAGGCAGATTTGACCCTTTTTCCAAAGGCTCTTCTTGATTGGATCCCCTACCACCGCCACCATATACTACTTCCCCCCATCACTTCCTCCCTGCTGTGTTTAGGCGTCCCATGCTCTCCGTTAGGCTGGGTCATCCCCTTTTCAGGGTGGGGCTGTGCCTTCCGAGATGGTAGAAGAAGAATTTGAGTACCTGAGCTTCCAGCTCAGATCTGGCCTCCAGGTCCTACTCTGCTCTCAGCTGAGGTTGCTTACCGTAACAAGGTGCAAGGGGTTGGGAGCGAGATAGACTTAGAATCTGGGCTCTGCCACTTCTCTGTGTTACTTTAAGTGAATCACTTAACTTTCAGTCTCACACAAAATTAGATAAAACCACCTACCTCATGAATGAGAAAATTCCTGGGATACAGCAGGATGCTTAATGAACTAGTGTCTTGACCTTTAATCTTATGGTTTGTATCTGAGACTACAGTCTGGATGTTCAGCCTGACCCAGTGCCCTAAGGTAGGTTCAAGTGCCAGCATCTGGTTCTGGACTGAGATGACTGAGACTATTGCAATGGGAAGGGATACTTGGTGAGCTGGGCTGCTGCCCCACACTCTGGCAGCTACCGGGCTGTTGAGGCCCCAGGTTCCCCAAGATGACTTATGACCTATCTGTCCTTTCAGCTATTTACCCCCTGGAGGGAAGGATCCAGGTGGGAAGAGCAGCAGACTACCAGTGAGTCCTGGGGCCTGGGGGAGGCCAGCCCCCAGCCCTGTCTTCCCACCCGTCCTGGGATTGCCCCCAATTTGATCTGGGAAGTCAGGGGCCCTGGGAACAGCATGGTCTGCCAGTTCTATGGGGGCATTCACACCCATCCTAGAGCCAGCTGCTATCCTTCCTGGGTTGCAGGATTTCAAGACACTATCCCTTGCTCCTTTTCCAGCCTTTTGCTTTATCTCCAGGCTTTGGTCCCCAAAGGAAAGAGGAAGCTGTAAAACACACATGGGGGCAGGGGGTGGTTAGAATGTCACTTACAGGAGGGAGAAGCACCCTTCGGTGAAAGGTATGACCAGTCTCATCCCTCTTGCCCCCTCTCCTGCCCCAGTCTGGTTCCTCTGCCTCACCCCACCTACCTTGGGCTAACCCACCCTTAACCAAAGGCCTCAACTCTCTCCTGATTTGGGGCCCTGACTTGGGTTTCAGGGTCCTCCCGTGACTCATCACTCCTGTGATGGGGCCCTTGGACGCCGGCTACCTGCAGGTTCTCCCTGCTGTATCCAGTGAGTGTGGGGATCAGGGAGAAGGGGATAGATTTTCGTTTCAGTGAGACCCAGAAAACATGGGTGGGTTGGTTCCAGGAGCCTCTGGTCACTGGTGGGAATATAAAAAGTCCAACATGCTTGATGGGTAAAAATGGACCAACGCACTGGTTCTTGGACCATCTTCTGGCCCTGTGCCACCCTTCTTCCTCTCACACGTAGGGAGTCCTGGGGACCTATCTCCTTACCAGGCTGTTCTTTGTCCCAGTGTGTTCAGGAATGGGGACCTGTTAAGTCCCCCATTTAGCCTGAAGCTGTCCCGGGCTGCCAGCAAGGACTGGGAAACGGTGTTGAAGCTCCTGGCCGAGAAGGTCAAGTTGCAGAGCGGTGCTGTGTGCAGGTGAGTATGGGGACTGGGGAGGCCCACAAGTCCCCAAAGGGAGCCTCCTCCTGGTCTCAGCTCTCCCAGAGGATGAAAAGGCAAAAGGAAAGCAAGTTTCTCCGAATGAGACTTTCTTCTATGCCACAGGGAGAGACCCTGCCAGCCCAGCCCCCAGAGCCTAGGTGACTCGTCTAGTGCCCAGAGGGTCAGCGGCCACAGGGTACCTTGGAAGAGCGGTACCCACCCCCTCACAGTCTGCCGAATATGAAGAGGCAATCTTGTCCACCGGCCCTTATCTGCTCACCTCTCTCTCCCAGACTTTACACCCTGGAGGGGCTCCCACTGTCAGCGGGGGAGGCTCTGGTGAGTGGCCATTACTATGTGGCTGTCGGAGAGGATGAGTTCAAGGCCCTCCCCTATCTGGAGCTGCTGGTGCCCAGCCCCTCACTGCCCAGGGGCTGCTGGTATGTATGTGTGAGGTGGAGGGGTAGTGGGTTAGAGCAGAGGAAGCCACCCAGACTCCATGTCCTTCTCTGCCCACTACAAGCCTTTCTTTTTTCGTTGCAGGCATCCCCCAGACCCGAAGTCTAGGGCCCACAAGCAGCAGGTAGGTGATGCAGGGGGCCGTGGGCGGTGGGAAGGAAGGGGAATGACGGGCTGACTCCTCCTCCGGCTCAGGCTCTGACCTTACCTCACTGCATCCTCTCAATACTCTTATGAAACAGAGATTATTATTCCTGTTTTCTAGAGGAGAGATGAAGTACAAAGGAGTGAAGTAATTTGTTCAGGGTGACACAGTTATTGAGTGGCAGGGGCCAGAACAGAGCCTCGTTTGAAAGCCAGCTCATCCAGGCTCTAGGAAGATCTTCAGGACTCTGAGTTGGTGGACCTAATGCCTTCTTGGCAGGTTGGATGCTGGGAGAGAGAACTGGCATATTTGGCATAGCGGAGTCCAGCGGAGCTTATCAGTACCCCATTTTATCACAGGCCTGAGCCCTCCCAAGAGATGAGCCAGTGAGCATCAGGTGGGGGTTTGGGGGACACGGCCTGGTTTCAGTGGGCATCCTGAGTGCCAGGCACCAGCTGCTTGTCCCTGGATAAGGCAGCCTGATGGGACAAGGGAGCAGGGAGGGAGGATGCAGGCTATGAAGATGGATGGCATCTTCTCTACCAAGCTCCCACAGGCACCAGGGGCGGTTCAAGCCTGGACTACTGGAGGAGAGAAGGTAAGAACAGCCAGTACTCGGGGCCGGCCTGGTGGTGCAGCAGTTAAGTTTTCACCTTCTGCTTTGGCGGCCTGGGGTTCGCTGGTTTGGATCCCGAGTGCCGACATGGCACCACATGGCAAGCCATGCTGTGGTAGGTGTCCCACATATAAAGCAGAGGAAGATGGGCACGGATGTTAGCTCAGGGTCAGTCTTCCTCAGCAAAAAGAGGAGGATTGGTAGCAGTTAGCTCAGGGCTAATCTTCCTCAAAAAAAATAAAAAATAAAAAAGAACCGTCAGCACTCATGGCCCAAGCCCGGTGTCCTCTCTACAGGCCCATGGTCACAGGGCACAGGCAACCCAGCCCTCTCCAAAGGAACCAAGCCAAATTGAGCCATCTGCTTTCCATGCCAGACCCCAGCAGGCCATTCAGCCAAGCAGTATACTCCCCACTCTCTCATTTCCATCAGGTGAGGAGACCCTGGGACTCAGGTCCTTCTCAGCCACCCTCTGACAGGCACACAGAATGGTCCCTGCTGTTTGGGGGAGGTCCCTGGGGACAGAATGCCCCAGTACAGAGCTGGCCTGACCTCAGCACAACCGTCTCCTACTCCTTCATGTGTATACCCAGCCCCTTGCTCCTCACAAGGACTTGGCTTTTGGAAAGAAGCACATGGCAACTCAAAGCAACAAAACTTCAGGGGTGGGATCTGGAAGGGATGGGATGGGGCCAAAGGCCTGCCTCTGAACTACCCTGCCCTCCTCCGAGGTAAGGGGAATGCGGAGCAAGGGCAGGGCAGGGGAGGGGACTGGTAAGAAGGTCAGAGGAA